TATATAAGTAGAACTTCAATAATTTGTTGACTTAATTCAAGTTTAGTCATGAACTGACATTGCAGCACTGAAGACATTCCCATAGACGCTCAGAACTCATCTTCAGCAGCCAGCGAAGAGTTGCAAATCTAAAAATGCCAGTATCAGGTTGATTACACGTATGTCCATCTCTCTTTCTTCTGACTGTAGAACGTCGACCAGATACCAGGTTACTCTGTTCGTCGTACCTACGCTCACAAAGAGCATTGACTACACGTAGTTTGTCAGGCATCGGTTCACCTTCCAATGATGCAGCGTTAGCAGGTCTGTCTGTTATTTCGTTTCCCACCACACCTGCATACCTTCGAGAAAGTATCACAAAGATGCTAACTACAGTAACGGTACACAAGTCAGATTTGTTTCAGACAGTTTGACGTATTGCTGCTCTCCTGTCCCAGCTTTTTCAGTCAGGCACACACATATATTTTTGTATCTTCTGCTTGTCCCTCAAATTACTGGACGTAAATTTGCCTAGAAAAACCACACAACAGCCAGGGGCTTTTGGGGTTGGTTCTGCAACGTCCTGTTAAGGATACGCAACTAACCTGCTGAGACTTTCCTTTTATCAGTCTGTGGCTCTTAGTAGTAGTATCCAAGGCTTTTTGTAGGAGGGTTTTTTTCTGCGAACACGTGGAGGTGTCACCTCTCTTACAGCACTTTGAGTCTGTCTGCGATAGTCGGCAACGTAAGGATGGATCACATATAAACTACTGAGGTATCTTTAGTACATCATAGAATCACCCGCATAGCTGCATTATGTATGGGTTCAAGCTTCACTAGCTGCCTATTTCTTCTTCTTCTGCATTCATCCGAAGATGTAATTGCATTGTGCCTGTTTACCGCATGGTTGCGATATTTGCCCCTTTCGGCCGACACACCCCACTTTTGCAGGCATTTATTGACCGGGTCAGCCTTTCCTGTTGGGTTTGTGGGACAATGCAGTTTCATTGTTGCGTGGTCATTTTTGTTTCCCAGGTCAAAGGAGGTGACCCACATTAGACCACGTAATGCTGGTCAACCCCCAAGAAAAGGCAGGAGCAGAACACAAGCATTCCTCGCCATCTGATGGTCAATGTGATTGTATGCGTATTTAAAGAAAGCAGCAATCAACTTACTTGAGGTTGACATCTCCACAGAGTTTGCCCTCAAAAGGAACGTGTGCCAGCCAAAATAATTTTCTATGCTCTGCATATGTTGGACGACACTCTTGTAGCAAGTGTTTTGGCCGTCATTGTACCATTTCCAGTTACAATCGTCAATGACTTCTATCTTTAGCTTTTTGAACAAGTGGTGTTTGAGCCTAGTATGTCCTGGGTGGGGTCTAAAGATCACTGCTTGTTCTCTTTGTTCAAGTTAGTAGTATGCATCATCCTTCTTGTGGCCTGAATGTTCACATCACATTTGGTACTACAGGTACTTCTTATAACCTCTTGGCTTTGTCATATACTTTTATATTATATACTTTTCCGATTCCGATTCCATGAACAAAAATTCCAAACTTCGACGAAGTTTAACCAGCTCCCTTATATACTTTTATATTTGATATACTTTTATATTTGGCATTTGTGTGATATTTATCATTCATTCCGTCAATTTCCATACACAACTAAGTAAGCTGATTGGTCGATAGGCATTTCTTTTTACCGGGTCTTTTCCTTTCTTCAGGACTAGTATTAGTATAGCTTCCTGCCATGCCCAAGGGACTATTCCTCTCTTCCACCTGCAGATAAGGACTGCTTCTTCTTCTTCTTCTTCTTCTTCTTCTTCTTCTTCTTCTTCTTCTTCTTCTTCTTCTTCTTCTTCTTCTTCTTCTTCTTCGTCTGCTTCTTCTTCTTTCGTTCGCCTGAAATAAGTTGTCTATATCAGCAATCTCGTCTCTTATATAAATTTCACTGTCTTTGTTAGTTCATTGAGTGGTCCATAGAGTTTACGTTCCACTGTTGTTCTTTCGGGCCAAAAGGTTTGCCTTAATGTGTCAAATTTGGTGCAGTCCTGGAGTACATGATCTGTTGTCTGGGGAACCTTTTCACGGATGCACATGGCTGATACGCCTATCTTGATTTTTGTGTACATGTGGTTACGTAATCGGTTGTGCCTTATTCTAAGGGGGAGGATAATGAATTGTTCTGATCTGTCCATAATAAAATAGTCGTCTTGTGCTGAGGCTGGTGATCTCCTGATCGATTTAATGGTCCCTTTCTTTTGGTGGTATGTGACTGGTTACATCCGGCTACACTTTTGTCGCACCTTCCCCTGCCAGTTGATCAGCTTTCTCATTTCCAGTCACTCCACATTGGAACGGTATCCATTGCATTAGGACTGCCAGTAATTGCCTGAGTATACAGTCTTGTTATCATTCCATTTGTGATCTCATCCTTCCTGGTGATTTCCTATTTTTCAGGGAATTCGCTGCCCGTTCCATCTCTTCCGTATTTAAATTTTCCATCACAAGTTCTGATTTCTCTGTGTTACTGTCACATGCCGGTTCTTCTTTCATTGCTTTTTTGTGTTCTGGTGTGACATCAGTGGGGTTTGCACTAGCATACTATTCTATCAATGCATTCACAGCCTTTTTTACTTTTAGTATGTTTATACCCCGTTTAATATTTATTTGTATGTTACTGTGCTTTTACATGGCGTTTACTAGTTTCCACAATAAATTTCCATCTTTGTCTAAGTTCAGTTTTTCTGTGTTTTTTTTTTCTAGTCAGAATTTCCAGGTTTTTTATTTAATGTTCTCTCACATTGTGCTGAGATGGCTTTCAGTGAAATGTTTGCACCAGTTCTTTGTTCTCTCCCCCCCACCCCTCCCCTCTCTGTCTCTGCCGTCTTCATGGCCACTTCAACTTTTCCCTCTAGAATCTGTAATTCTTTGATTTAGGATGGTTTGTAATTTTTCCTAACACATCTTGGAATGCACTTATATGCTGCCTTCAGTATTGCTTTGTTCAAGTTCCTACTATTGCCTTCATGTTGCCATGTCGTGTGTTTTTGTTTTTACGTTACTTTGTGAGCCAAGCGAATTTATCCCGACCAGTTCGTTTGTAATTCAAGCGAGGCAATGGTGATTTTGCACCTGTGGGATATAATTCATATTTACGATAAGCTTCACTGGTCTGATTACTACCTGCTAGCTGGTCTAGTACAATGCGATGTTTTGTGAGGAATGTCTCTCGTGCAGAAGGCTATGTCAGGAGTGGAAGCATTACACCATCTTATAGAGTAAAATCTGGATCTGTCTTCTGGTTTGCTGATTAAATTGAGATTAGAGTATATTTCCCCAGACCTCCACCTCATCTCCTCTGGTAACAGTATCTGGGTAACCCCCATCTATCTGACCGGCTTTTAAAGTTTCTAACTATTATACAATTTGAGCCATTATGTCCATTCTTGAAAGTGCAAGATCTTTATTTGCTGGGCTGTATAAATTGTTTAAGTGCACACCAATAATTTCCATCTATTATCAAGAATGGACTGCACAATTCAGTAGCGCAGACACAAAATAAACCTTAGTGGGAAAATGGAAAGGGGCGCTGGAAGGGGGGGGGGTGGGTGTTCTCACACATTTTCGAGGGTGGAGGTCTTAAGAGGACTAAGCCTTGTTTAAATGTTTAATAATACTAATAAAATGCCGAACAGTGAACATCTAATTAAATATTTAAAATAATATAATAAAAAAATAATTTATTATCTGCGCAGCAACAGTTGATTTGGTTTTCTTTAATTTCATAATAAATTTAAATAACAGTACACTTCTAAAATATAATTAATTTAATTATTACCCGTCGTTATTGCTACGACAGAAAGGATTTACCGGAATTTACAACATAATTATAATAGTGTACCTGTGAGTTGTATTTAAATTCAATTACGTAAAATTGACCGTAGAAGAAAACCTATATTTTGTTGTTGTGTATATCACCTCTGTCAACTACTAATAGGCCTATACATAATTTAGTTATTCTCCTTTATTGTATTTACGAAAAAAATCCCAGGGATTTTATCAGATAAATTCAACTGATTTAGACGCATATCTAAGTTAGACCACTTGCGATTGAACAGAATTTCAGTAATGTAGAATTAACCGTAGAAAAAAACTAATATTTCTTTGGATATAATCTTTTTTTTACTAATAAATATAATTTAATTAATATATTTCATTTCTATTACGAATGAAGTGATTTTTATTAGAAACGTTCAACTGATTTAGAATGGTAAATCTGAGAGCAAGACCACCTGCGAGTTGTACATAATTTTAATACTTTTAAAATTGACCGTAAAAGAAAGAACATATTTCTATGGATATCATCCCTATTTCTTATATTTTAGTTTCATTTCAAGCCCATGGCGTTCTGTAAGCGCTATCTTGGGAATTACGACCTGGACGGGGCAGGCGAGGGCTGGACCATATTTTTTTCCACCCTAAAACCAGGGTTGGAGCCAATGGCTGCAGGAGTTTGTGGTCACGTGACAGAATTTCCCTCGGAATAATTTATTTTCGTTTACATTTTGCATATTCCGTGCAACCTCGGTTGAGCCGCCATGTTGGTTGATATAGAATAGACGGAATAATGCCGTTAAATTTTATTTTAGAAAAGATTAATCGTTATACGAGATAGGCAGGATGGTTTCTATATCACTTAGTAAAGCACCAAAAGGCTTTACTTGGTTGTTTGTTGACCAAACATAGTTCATCCTTAAATTTAGTGTTTTACCGTGGCGCTTTGTGATAGCGGGCTGGCGATTGGTAGGAAGTCGATTACTGAAGTGTCGGCGCTACCCCGTTATGATGTTGGAAAATAAATTCTTGCATTGTCATCATATATTGAGTGCATAAGTTAAAATTATGATCATCTTTACTGTTGTGAACTTTTTTGTGAGCATATCATAATTTTCTGTATAATTTTGTGAAGGAAAATTACTACTCCGCTCTTAAAATTAGTGCTGTATTGAATGTAAACATGGCTGAACATCTTGGGCCCTCGTCCATCAAGAAGCCCAGAATCTCATCTCCGTCTTTGAATACCCCGAGTGACAGCGGTGGTAAGTTTGGCCGTGGTATGTACAAAAATGTTGTATTGTGACAATATTTATTTGTAGTGTCATTTGTTTTTAGAGATAATTATTTAATGGGTAATTTTTGGGTAGCCGCACAGGTAGTCTCTTAGATGAGGTTCACTGGTTGGTGATTTGAGTTCACAGCTTCCATTGCTTGGTTTAGGTTAGTCTTCAGTCTCGGTGAAGTCTCTTATTCTTGGGACTAGATGAATTGCATTAGCAGTTGTAATGGATATTTGAATTATTAAGAAATGCGTGGTTTATATATATTATTAGAGAGAGGAGATAAGAAGACTAGAGGATGTGCCACTACTAAAATATTGAGAATTCAAAGTAGCTTTCTTCATTAATTCATAGTCATTAAGATCAGAGCATAGTGAAGTGGTGGGCAGGAGGGTATCTTATGATGGCCTATGATACATCATACACAAAATTTATGTATCTGTTAATGTTTAAACATGCAGACTGGAATATGTAGAGCAGTATCTTAATAGTACCTAACTTGCCCTGCGGCTAGTTGATGTGTTAAAAATTACCCATTTTAAAAACTGACCTAGGCTCCCAGGTCAGCTTGGTCTAAAAATGGGTACCAGGAAATCTTCTGGGAAATGAAGCCTGTGAAGGTGGCTGGCTGATATTGAACAGTGATTGGTCCAGTAATATATAAATGAGCTAGGATATTGTATCCCAGACCCCAGGATAAATTAAAACAGGTCTTTTACTACAGTGGGTAAATTCTCGGTGTGTCTCAAAAAGTCTTCTGTGTAGTCCACTTTACTTACTTTTAGTTTTCTTAAGAATATAGCCACACAGTGCTGTTTCAGCCTATGCTAATTTATCATGTTTACTATCGTTAAGTAATTTTCTTATTGTCAGTTTAAAAAAATAGTAGGCTGCAATGGAACCCATCTTGTTGAAGTCCAAGTACATAATGTGTAGGAGTGTTAGTCTTTTGTTAAGGTTCCTAGATTTTGTTGTTTCACAAGGCTGCATGAGGAAAAAAAAAGGCTCATTTGATGAAGTGAGCAAACAAATATTGACCAACTACACTCTGGTATTAAACAAGTGGCATTAGAGAATGTCTCTGTAGAGTTTCTGATGATTAGGCCTCAAAGTTTATTTTTCATTTTTTTTGGGTCCTGTGTACTCCATTTTTTTCTAATTTCAATGCCTATTTTGCTTCTGCGCATGATGTGCCCAATATAATTCATCTTCTTTGCCTTATAACTGTTGATGCAAGTTTTCCAGACTTTTCTTTTATTTCTTTGCCTTTCTTGAATTCCTCCCACTTATAGAAAGTGTTAAATCACTTTCTTTTGTGACGTTTTAATTTTTCTCTCCATAGTTTAACAATTTGACTTCTCTGTTTTTGCCTCTTTCTTCCAAGTGTTAAACATTGTAATGATTTTTCTTTCAATGGCTGATTGTGCCTTCTGTTGCCAAATCATAACTGCTGACTTCTAACAAAGCTTCTGTTGTTACACTGGGGAGGAAAAATAACTATACCTTAGTTGTAAAGAATTTATACAATGCTGTCATGATGCTAGTTCTGTTTGTGTCCAGCATCATGCAGAATATTTACAGAATATTAAAAAAAAAAACCTGTTGAGAATAACATGAAGAAAAGCTAAATATGTGTACATCAGTATTATACACATCTGGCAGAAAATGAAATGGTTACTTTTTATGGTGAAGCTTTTCTACACCTTAATCTTTGTCCCATCATGTGGTTATGTACGTCATACCTTAAACCAGATGTGTGTACAGTCAGCATTATCACAGACTTCATTGGGTACTGCTGCTGCTTGGCGGGCGGTTTTGATGAATCTGTGCACTGAAGATATGCATTTATAGTTGATTGCTGTTTGGTTTCCCCTTGGAGCAAGAGAAAGAATGAGTAGGGAATGTGTATATCACAATATCTCAAAGTGAGTGACAGCAAGGGAAACTCATTTTGTGAAATACTCGGCATAAGTAAAAAGAATCAAAGAAGGCTGAATCATGGCTAGGTCTGCTGAAGACACTACTATGTGAGCCTACAAATATTGATCCTTGGCAAGTATATAGACCTTTTCTGTCCTTAATAAAATATGCTGAGTTCAAGGATCTCATTAAAGACACTGAGACAATGGGACTGCTGCTGTATACAGGAGGAATACCCAATCTGGCCATTGTCATGCACACAACAAATTATGACTTGGAATAAACAAAAGTAAAGGGACACACACAAAAGTAAAGGGACACACACAAAAGTAAAGGGACACACACAAAAGTAAAGGGACACACAAAAGTAAAGGGACACACACAAAAGTAAAGGGACACACACAAAAGTAAAGGGACACACACAAAAGTAAAGGGACACACACAAAAGTAAAGGGACACACACAAAAGTAAAGGGACACACACAAAAGTAAAGGGACACACACAAAAGTAAAGGGACACACACAAAAGTAAAGGGACACACACAAAAGTAAAGGGACACACACAAAAGTAAAGGGACACACACAAAAGTAAAGGGACACACACAAAAGTAAAGGGACACACACACAAGTAAAGGGACACACACAAAAGTAAAGGGACACACAAAAGTAAAGGGACACACACAAAAGTAAAGGGACACACACAAAAGTAAAGGGACACACACAAAAGTAAAGGGACACACACATGTACAAACACAGGTTTTGATTAAAAAAAGCCATAAAACAAAAGAAGAAGAATACTGCACCACACAAATGACTGGAAGTTGGGAAAAGGGAATACTGAGGACAAGGGGTATTGACAAGTTTTACATACACACACAAATGGCTATCTTTATATTAGGTGAACGATGCTGGAGCAGTAATGAAAGGGTTTCAGTGGCGGCAGGCGTTGTAGGGGTTGTATAGTAGAATAAAGAATATGGCCCTTATGTTGTGAGGGCTGATGAAATTGAGAAGAAGGCAGTTTTGAGCCTCCTTATCAGTGTCCTTAAGATTTGTATAGTAAATAGACTGTTGGGAATCTTGAGAGTACCTAATTTGGTGTTAAACCAGGCCATTCCTTTATATCCCCCCCCCCCCACACACACACACACACACACAATAGTAATTGGCTGTTTTATATTCATTTCGTGCATTTCAGTCTTTGCCTGTAGCAAATGCTAATTTAATTTGCTTTATGTCTTCAGAGTTTAGCTTCTCGAATTTCAACTTTGAAGGCATTGTCAATGATCTGCCTGATGATCTTGATGGCCTGCAAGGATCTACAAATGATGCTCAGACGTCCCATGGTGGCCAGGACATGGCCATGGCGGGCTCCTTGTCTCAGCTGCTCTCCAGATCAACCCCCAATTCCCAGTCACCCATGTCAATGGCCTTCAATACTGCTGGCGGCATGCAGACTAACAGAAACCCAGGGATGGGGATGATGAACATGGGCATGGGAAAGAATCAGCTGACCACCAGTTTAGCCGCGACTCTGATGAACTCTAACAAAGTGGCAACATCCTCACATATGGGAGTTGGCAACGGCATTGTCAGCAATGCCTCTTACAGCATGTCTGGCACAAACTCAGGAATGATGGACAATGTAGGAAATCCTATGGGGATGCGGTCTATGGGGACACAGCAGATGATTGGAGGCGTGGGCAGCCTCAACATGGGCCAGCAAGTGCCAAACCAAATGATGAATGGCATGAACAATTTTGCTGGCAATATGGGACAGATGCGGGGCATGCAGGGCAGTGTTAACCCATCAACTTCTTTGCCAGTAGTTCAGACCGGAATGATGCCAGATCCTGGAATGGGACAGATGCAGAGTCATCAGGGAATGCCTGGACATCCCGGTATGAATTTGCAACAGAACTCAACCCATGGTGTTAGGGTAAGTACGACTGGGTAATGTCAGTTTTCTTTCATTATTGCTACTTCTGTCTGTACTGCTCCCCCGTCAAAAGTTTGAGGGTGGGGGGAGGGGGGGGGGGTGGTTGTTAACATTTAATCCTACCAGACCTGAGGTCCTGAACCTAACTGCCTCCTATACCTGAGCTCCTGGGCTTTAACGCGAAAAACCAACATGATAGACAAAAATATTAATTACATACAAACAAGTGGCTAGAATAAGATGAAACTTGAGACATTGTAGAAAATAGGTTTTAGCTTTTATCTAACGCCAATATTCCACCTTTGTATGCTAATCCACCCAGCAGGATCAACCTTGTTTCACAAAGAGAACACCAGATGTTGCTGTTTGAGGGACACGCCCCCTTCTCCTACTTTCGATCTGTTTCTAGATTTATAATTTTCAAGGTTCTCCTCATCATTCCAGCTCTCACTGACTGTCATTTCTACTTGGAACATATTTCTTCATGAATTTATGACTTCTCAGAGTCTGAATCAACTAAGTATTGATCACCTGTTGGACTGTTAAAAGCCTAGACCTACTTTACTTTGCTGTCGAAGTGCTTGGTTCATCAGCCGCTCGTTTTATTGTGAATTTTCAGAATTCTTTCACGTAAGTCAACACAAATTTTATCCAAACACATGCGGGCGGACATTTAGGAAGACTATCCACGAGATCTGATTATGATTGGTTAGTTATTTTTAGTTTGTGGCTCATTGTTTTCTAATAGTACGCAAATTCCCGACATTGAGAGACAGCGGTTTAGCGGCAAGTTAGGAAATTCACATAAAAGCAGGCCAGCAGTCTGCTAGAGTTAAACAGTTTTTAATCGATTAAAAAGAGTGTATTTTTGTGTAGGTTTTCACTTTAATAGCTCTAGTTTTGCAGTCACTTACATCTGATCTATGACTTTTCCTTTATCTACTCTTTTATTTCTTCTCCCCCTCCCCCTCCCCATTTTAAGGGTTTTGGGCATTATTGATGATTTTTGTGTGTTTCTCATACACAATTTGTTTCAAATTAGAATAATAAGCTGCCAGTACTCATTTTGTCTGTCCTGTCATCTGCTGGAGGGCCTTGTACTTTGTTTTTAGAAATGTCACTGTAAATGTGTTTCTTGATTTCTTTTGAACTTCTTTTGTCTGCTTACTTGTTTTTATTAGCAGATGGTGCTCTTAATACATACTTGCACCTCTCAAAACTATCACTTAGAGCAAGGGTTCCCCATTAGTTAAGACCTGCAGACTGCTCATATTTCCAAGGGTCTGCTACAGACACCTTACTGTTAAGTAGTCATGTTAAACTGAAGAACATGTGATTTATTAATATTTTAATGACAAGCTTACTAGTGAAAAACTGAGACAGAAAGATTTCATGATCATCAGTGGCAGATGTTAGCAATGGAAGGAGATGGCTTGGGCATGTTTGCAGAATGCTATGTGACACTTTAGCAAATGTAGCTCTCTGATGAATGATTGGGGGGGGATAGGTGTAGACAATCTAAGGAAACCTGGAGAAGGGCAATAGTTAGTGAAATGAAGTATAAACTGACATGGCATGCCATGGGCAGAAGAATAGCAGCAGACATCTTGCAGTGATCACTTGTGGATCACTTGTGTGTCAGCAGAGGGTCTCCGTGGTGAAGTGGTCAAAGCTGTTTGCCTTGCGTTCTAAAGGTTGTGGGTTCATTTCACGGCTGCCTCATTCAGTTCATGAAAGCAATTTTAGGGAGATACTGGGGGATAGTCATCAGAGCTATGGAGGTTGTGTTCTGTGCAATGATCTCTGCATGTGCTGTTCTGCGGGGAGAGACTGAGCTATGTGGGATAAAACCCAGTGTGATGAAGTCGATAGGATGAAATAGATACAAATATTAAAATCACACACACAAATTTGCATTGTAGTTTCATTTTTAAAAAAAATGTTTTTGTGTGTGTGGTAAGTGATATCAAATATATCAACAACTGAGGAAGACTGTTAAAGGAAATTATCATAATTTTCTGGGTATAGTTTATTTTTGAAATATCATTTGGGTTATCCAAACGGCACTCCGGACATGTCCATTAGATGCTCAAATTCCCCTTTCAACATATACATCAACATCCCACGGTGGATAGTCCCAGCCCTGTGTCGGTGGACAAGACCTCTCGAGAGTCCAGTATACTTCTTGTGCATGGCTGTGCCAATATTTACTCACATTGCTGGCACTCTTAGTAGTTTATTATTGTTTGTGCTATTGATTAAACGTCGACGGTTTTCTTTCACAGCCTGGGCAGCAGCAGCAACAGCAGGCAGCTGGTACCATGCCAGGACCTGGTCCTCGTCAGGCTACTGCTGATCCAGACAAAAGCAAACTCATTCAGCAGCAGTTGGTGTTACTGCTGCATGCACACAAATGTCAGCGAAGGGAGCAAGCAAATGGTGATCAGGATTGTAAACTTCCCTACTGTCGCACCATGAAGAACGTGCTAAACCATATGACTACTTGTAACAAGGGAAAATCCTGTGAAGGTATGTAAATTGTTCTCTTTTAAGAATTACTTTGAATGAGATTATTATATATATATATATTATATATGAAACATTTATTTTTTGGGTCTTTGTTGAATTGCTTCTACAGAAGATCAAAGTAAGACTTGTGGAATTGTCTTCTTTTCCGTCCTTTATTCTCCAGATCTTGCTATCTTTTGCAGCTCTCCCTCTATGCTCTAGGTCTTTCCCATGTTTTTTTTTTTTAACTGTTTCCTTTTTGGAAATGGTGGGGGGGGTACTGTTTCTTTGTCTCTTTTGGTTCCAGTAACATTCTAGTTATAGTTTTCAGTTTTTTTTCCCCCAAGTCCTGTCAGGCTCTAGGTACTGTTCCTCGCCTCTAGTGTCACTGGAATCCTAAGGCTGGCAATGAAATATTCTGTAGTACAGTGTAATTTCTATCATTCTTTGCCTGTGCATAAAAAATACATGCATTGTTCTGTATGCTACATGATGATCACCTGGGAAGTCTCTCTTAATAAGTATAATGCAACGCAACAGTAAATAGGTAATTAGTAGGCAAGATGTGTACATTATACTTCTAGGTTTAAAGCAGTTAGAACACATCAAGTATAAAAGTCCTTGGAGACACAAACACAGCATGGGAAGTGCCCAGAAATTAGAATTAAAGGAAAATATAAAAGATGTGTTCAAGCTAGGGCTGTACCGAATATTCGCTTCGGGGCCGAATAGTGGACCCAATAACTATTCGGTATTCGGCCGAATAGTTGCGGTCGGGCCGAATATGAATAGTGGTGACCTCACAACCGTTTCTGGACTGGTGGAAAAAAAACATCAAGATTTCCCACCTTGGTTTATACTGTCAAGTGTTATCTTTGTGCACCACCTACGAGCGTATGAAGTGAACGTCTTTTTTTTTTTTGTTATTTTGTTGGGGGGTTGTTACCCCTTTATTTCCATCTTGTATGTGTTGCATGTATAGTGTTTTTAGGTGTGTTGAGGGTCAAAAAAGCAAGTGTTCTAGTGTTGTCGGCTTGATTTCTTTGAGTGGAGTGTCCTCTTCGTTGATTGTTTGAAGTAACGGGAGTTCATCATCATTTATGTTTGTGGGTGTCGTAACTGTTCTATCGTTGTCTCGTTTGTTGTTTGATCTTCTGGCGTTGGCCGCTCGGCGTCTGGTTTCTTCGTCTGCACGGATTTCTTCGTTATGTGATCTTCAGGTGTTGGCTGCTCGGCGGTGTCCCTCTCTGTGGCCGCGGTGGTCTTTGATGTCGCGATCTTGTTTCCGTTGAGCTCGCAGGGGCAGGCGACTTGTGAGGACGACATTGTTTTCTTCGTCAGCGTTATTTTTGTTTTTGATGTTTCGCCTTGCGGGTTTTCATCTTGACTCTGTATTTGTCGTATTTTCCTGTTTAGTACAGCTGGAAATACCTTCAGTGAGACAAAAATACTGACAACATGGAACAAAGTTTTTTCATGGAGGTGTGTCAGCACACGAACTAATACGTGCTGCAGGAGATCGCAGATTGAGGCGAGGCATAATCGCCCATGCCAGCCGGCAAAGTACATGATGATGATGATGATTCACTATCACTATTCGGTACAGCCCTAGTTTAGGCAAAGGCAAACCCAAGGCTAGTGAAGACAAAACCCATAAAAAATATGTGGGAGCTAATACAGAAATAAACAGTAAAGGAGCAGATAAAAGACAGTATTTAGATGGTCTAGCCTATGAGGCAGAACCTGTTGTGGTAAAAAGAACCATCAGATATCTGTACAGAGCCAAAATGAAAATATAATTGGGAAGGTAGACATTAAGAGTTGCAGACTGTGGCTTAGGCAGTGCAAACACACTTCGTAATGCCGTGCTTGATCCCAGCCGCAGGTAATTTGACAGCAGACTTCCTAGCGTTGGTTTTAACAGTGGTGCTGAGAGTTGATCGTTCAGAAGCAGTGGCAAACTACTGAACATAGTTTTCCTAGAATAAATATATCCTTAAACCATTGCCTTATAACTTAATGACAGGCATTTCTCTTATTATTTTTGAATAAAGTTTTTCTTTCAGTCAGAGTGCATCTGACTGAAAGGCAAGAAACCAACAGTCTGCATAAAATTAAGCTAGAATTGTAAAATGGATATGTGCACAAAACTCAAGTCCTGGAACAAGATTTAAGTACAGAAATGGATGAACAACCATGAATGTGTTACCAGAGTTTACAGCCACTGAAGGCAAAGAATAATAATCTCTCCTTGGCCTACTATTTCGACTTTGTCTCTATTTTTGCTTCTTTTTACTAAATGTTTAAAATTTGTCTGATTTATTTCCTTTCTAGTGGCTCATTGTGCTTCCTCTCGCCAAATCATAACTCATTGGAAAAATTGCACACGTGTTGACTGCCCAGTCTGTTTACCACTTAAAACTGCGGACAAGCATAACAACGCTGGTCCCAATGTGGGTCATAATGTACCTGCGGCCGTGCCAAACCCTCAGTCATCAAACGTCACTGATCAAGTGACTGCGAAACGTGCAGAGTCACTGGGTCTGCAGTATAATCAGCCAGCTGCGTCTCATAATGCTGCGCCTCAGAGACGGGTTCAAATGAACACTATGTCTAATGATGGTAAGTGCTGCTGTTTGTGGAATCTGTGCTTTCCTGTGTTAAGTGTGCAAACAACATATAGGGTAGAATGTGAGAACATGCATCTTTTCTGTGGTAGCGTATGAATGTGAGTTGTAAACTATGGTTGGTTACTTGCGTATCCTTTACATGACATTGCAGAACCGACCCCCAGCATTTTTTCGCTGTTGTGGTTTTTCTAGGTGAATTTACGTCTAGTAGTTTGCCATTGCTTTCTGGATGGTCAGCTCCTTGATATCACTGTCGAAACCAATGCAAGGCCCGCAGCTGGGATCGAACCCCGCATTACAAATCGCATTCGCAACGCAAAGCGACAGACACTGACGTCTGTACTATGTATGGTGCAGTCGGTCAGAAGTGCTACAGGAAAATTCACATAAAGGAGGTACTGGCTCATTGGAAACAAAATACTTTGGCCATATTAACTGCCGAAATGGTTTGTAAGGAACATTAATGGGGAATATTGGTTCTCGAGGAAAACGTCGGGATCGACCAGCCAAATGGACAAATGATATCAAGGATACCCTGGGCTTGAAAGTTAGTGCGGCAGGAAAGTTGGCAAGAGGCAGGGTGACTTTCCAGCCTGCCGTGATGAGAGCATTAACATTGAGGAGATTGACTTCACTGCATCATGGTGTATTCCATAAAGCTGGGTTGAAAGGACAGAGCCGACAAATTAGCAGTGGCTGGAGGAGGAAGAAGTATTGACAGGGCAGACATACTGAATGTGCTGCGTGCTAGATACTTTGAGACAGGGAACCAGCTATTTAAAATGGGTATTTAATGATGACAGTCATGTAGAAACCAGTTGCAGCAGTGTTTCCCAAACTTGTAGTGGTCGCGGCACCTTTTTTCAATAAAAAAAATTTTGTGGCGCCCTAACCCAACTTAAAGTATGGCTATTCGTGTCTTTTTGGTGAAATTAATTTCACAGTATTTTTACAGTATTTTGCAGCACCCCTGTAAAAAGGCTGAGGTTCTGCGGCTCACAGTTTGGGAATCACTGAGTTGCAAAAAGATATGCAAATCAGCTCTTGCTAAGTACGTTGAGCATGGAGACACTGAGATGGCTGCTGCACCGGAAGAATGGGCATAACTGGGTCGGACTGATGTGCTAGGATGTTGATACGGACAACAAATAAACAGGTATCCCAAATAGCTGGGTCTCTCCGTAGAACGGCTAGCCATGCAGTGCACAAGTAGCTGCTGTAATTATCCCCTGGGCCCGCTGTAAAAGAAATGTCATCATGAACTGAATGACTCTATCTGTGAAACAAACCCACTACTTTCACCAGACTGCTTGGCCACTTCGCAGTTGAGGTACAGAATATGTTCAGCAAAGGACCTGCTTATGATGTTTATGTGAGCTTGTTTGTTTTTGTCAAGCCCTTATTAGATGGAAGAACATTGATATATATGTGATTATGGTGCACACACATTCAAATTTGGACCGCACTAGAGTTCTATGTGCTGTATTTTTTTTTTGTGTGTGCATGTTGTAAGAAGGATACAACTGGAAAACTTGGTCACTGTTGGGTTATGTTAGTGGGAAAAAAATGGGGGTGAGTGGGGGAGACATTGTGATAAATACCTGGATAGCTTAGCCATATGGAGTGGAGCGAGACAAGAACACCTGCCTGATCCATGATTCTGGTGATCACTTGAGATAACAACACAGATTCTCCACAGTTATCAGCACATCACATGATGATTTTAAAAAAAATGGTGGCCACTATCTTTTTTTTTTTTTTAAATAGTCGGTGGGGGGGGGGGGGGGGGGGGGGGTGTGTTTAGGGTAATGAGTTGTTACTGGGTAGACCCGGGTTAATTTAAATTTAAAAAAATGGGTTGGGTATTTCTGGGGTGGGGAAGGGGCAAACATAATTTAATTTAATCCCATATTTGAAAAATCAGATTGTTTCTGATTAAAAGAAGTAATTATGGGTTGGAACATTTGTTGCACTTGTATAATTTTCAGTAAGTATGATTTATCCTGATAGGTGAAATAACAAATGATTTTGTGTGTCAAATTCCAGGGCAGTTCAGTATTCCAAATCTACAGAATCAGAACGATAAAATGTTGCCCAATCTTGCGAGCAGTAACCAAATAGGCAACCTCCTGATGAGTCTACCAACCAGCCAAGTGCCTCCAGCGATTCAGCCACAGAGTGGGAGCCAGCTGGCAAACTCTGCAGCTCAGGCGGCTGCACTGGGCAGTGCTCCGGATATTGTCAAGTCAGTGCCTCCGACCAACCGGAAAGACTGGCATGCTCAAGTGACACAGGATCTGAGAAATCACCTGGTTCATAAATTGTACGTAAAGCTTGTTTGGATTTGCTACTACAGTTTTTAGAAGATAAGTAAAAAAAATAAATTTTTAGTGCAGACTTTGGCAGTGCTGATACAGTTAAGAAAAAATCATAGCTGCAAATAATTTGCAGAAGATAAATTGTGAAGATAGTTGATAGTGCTGAGACAGTTTTTCCCCCTGTAGATCAGTTGTCTCCAACCTTGGGATGCATTATCAAAGTTTAAAGGGAAATGGGGGGAGGGTCAGCAGTTTTGAAATTGGGTCCATTTGTACTTAATAATTTGGATTTTCAGCTTTAACAGTCATAAAAACATACCAGCGCAGCCCCTCGTGTGGGTTCCGGGGCCCCATTGTGAGGAAAACAAGAATAGACCCACTGCCTCCCCAAAAGCATGTCGTAAGAGTCGACTAATTGGGAAGCTTCCTTTGAAGTCGGAGTGCATCTGCCGGAGAGGCAAGGAACCAACAGTCTGTATTCAAGAGAATGAGATCTGTAAAACTGATGCACACGCAACACTCAGGTTCTGGAGCAGGACTGCAGTTCAGTAGTGGACGAGCAACCAGAACTTTCCGCCAGAGTTTAAGCTGGTGAAGGCGAAGAAGAAGAAGATACCAGCGCAGCCAGCTTGATGTGCAGAGTGACATCCACTGTGTCTTGACCAACATCAGCCAAAATAGCAGATATTAAGACAAAACGGTGTTGACCACTACATTGATATTTGAAAGCTTAATTACCAGTTGCTGATGATTGTTTCTTTAATTTGACACTCAATGTGCATGTTTTTCTCCAGTTCTTGTTAACTGTATTTGTTATTTCTCTTTTTTGTCCTCTTTTTGATATCATTTTGTACTGTTGGGGAGGGGGTCTTGCCATATACTCAAGAGGGCGCCACCTGGGAAAGGTTGGAAACCAGTGCCATAAATAATAATTTGTGTGTTAAAAGTTATTTGGTAAGGCTGGTAGTTTTAATTTAAAAAACTGAAAGGGAAAAAAACTGGTTTGATAGAAAATAATTTTTAATTACTAACTACATATAAGAAATTGTGAGTATACACTCTCTTGTGCAGTTTCTGGCAGTGAAAGATGCTGACGCTGCCTAAGTCTTTTGACAGAATGGAATAATCAACCACACCGTGACTTATCAAGATACCATAGCCATGATTTGGAACACTGGGAAGTAGACTTGGAGGGTACACATTGTAGCATTCAGTGGTTATTGTCCACATCTTCTCTGACAAATACAGTGAGCTGTAAAAATGATCAACACTAGACACTGCCTGTAAGAATGCATAACAGGCCTGGATGTCCACTAGCAGACGGGCTGCAGCAGAAGATTTTGACTTGCCTGTGACCTGGAAAATAAATAAGCTTCGCCCTTGTAACACTTCTGCAGATGCACCTTGGTATATTATCAGAAACATTCTTAGCTTGCTGTTGAAGATGGGGGACGGATCGCTTATGGGAGTGTCCAGAGTGCTGTGATGTCAATTCTCAATTCAAAACTCAAAAATAAAGGCAGCCAGAAGTACCGAAATACTAGTTTAAGCTGCAGGTGTGGCTTCTGGGACCTCACCTATTTTAGCAACTAAGAAAGTAGGTACAAATTATGTGTAAGCACAAATGAGTGTATTGATATAGATCAGGGTTATTCAGCTAACTTTACTTAGGGGCCAACATTTCAGAAATGGTGATCGTCCTGGGTCAGAGGCCTGAGTCCCAGCATAAAAAGATCATCAGTGCAATACAGCTGGCAACTTTTTAGGCTTCCTCAGGCCACCAGTTGAATAGCCCTGATATAGATGTTGATCATTATAGCAGAATTTTGTTATATCCGCAGGGTGCAAGCCATATTTCCGACTCCAGATCCAGCTGCTTTGCGAGACAGTCGAATGAAGAACCTTGTTGCTTACGCACGAAAAGTTGAAGGTGACATGTACGAAACTGCAAATAACCGGGTAAGACGGTAGAGAAGGATAACATCATAGCTAAGTTTACCATAGAAATAGCGAACGCTTTATTTATATATTTTAATTTAATGTTTGACCTTATATGAGTTACTGGGCCTCATTGGGGGGGGGGGGGGGGGGCACTCCGCTTTTACAAGTAGGGATGTTTCTTTCTAAATCTTAGTGCTTCTGCCTGAGAGGTGAGGAACTAACAGTCTGCCTTAAAAAAACTCTAGATCTGTAAAATGGTCGTGCATGCAAAACTTAGGTTCTGGAACATGATTTAAGCCCAAAAGTGGATGAACAACCAGAACTTCCCACAGGAGTTTACAGCCAGTGAATGCGAAGAAGAAGAGTAAAAATAACAGTCTTTTACAGCTGTTCTGCCTCCAGAGAATGTATACTTTTACCCAACTCATAAGTCGCCGGACACACGGAGAAGGGAATTTGAGTGAAGTGAAAGAGATGGGGGCATGGGTTGAGCTACATACAATGACAAAAGATGGAGAGCATGGGGTGAGCTACATACAATGACAAAAGATGGAGAGCATGGGGTGAGCTACATGCAGTGACAAAAGATAGGGGGCATGGGTTGAGCTACATACAATGACAAAAGATGGGGAGCATGGGTTGAGCTACATACAGTGGCGAAAGATGGAGTGAGCTACATGCAATGGCAAAAGATGGAGTGAGCTACATACAATGGCAAAAGATGGGGGACATGGTGTGAGCTACATGCAATGGCAAAAGATGAGGGGCATGGGGTTAGCTACATGCAATGGCAAAAGATGGGGGGCATGGGGTTAGCTACATGCAATGGCAAAAGATGGGGTTAGCTACATGCAATGGCAAAAGATGGGGGGCATGGAGTGATCTACATGCAATGGCAAAAGATGGGGGGCATGGAGTGATCTACATGCAATGGCAAAAGATGGGGGGCATGGAGTGATCTACATGCAATGGCAAAAGATGGGGGGCATGAAGTGATCTACATGCAATGGCAAAAGACGGGGGGCATGGAGTGATCTACATGCAATGGCAAAAGATGGGGTTAGCTACATGCAATGGCAAAAGATGGGGTTAGCTACATGCAATGGCAAAAGATGGAGTGAGCTACATGCAATGGCAAAAGATGGGGTTAGCTACATGCAATGGCAAAAGATGGGGTTAGCTACATGCAATGGCAAAAGATAGGGTTAGCTACATGCAATGGCAAAAGATAGGGTTAGCTACATGCAATGGCAAAAGATGGGGTTAGCTACATGCAATGGCAAAAGATAGGGTTAGCTACATGCAATGGCAAAAGATGGGGTTAGCTACATGCAATGGCAAAAGATGGGGTTAGCTACATGCAATGGCAAAAGATGGGGTTAGCTACATGCAATGGCAAAAGATGGGGTTAGCTACATGCAATGGCAAAAGATGGAGTGAGCTACATGCAATGGCAAAAGATGGAGTGAGCTACATGCAATGGCAAAAGATGGGGGGCATGGAGTGATCTACATGCAATGGCAAAAGATGGGGGGCATGGGGTTAGCTAAATGCAATGGCAAAAGATGGGGGGCATGGGGTTAGCTACATGCAATGGCAAAAGATGGGGTTAGCTACATGCAATGGCAAAAGATGGGGGGCATGGAGTGAGCTACATGCAATGGCAAAAGATAGGGTTAGCTACATGCAATGGCAAAAGATGGGGTTAGCTACATGCAATGGCAAAAGATGGGGTTAGCTACATGCAATGGCAAAAGATGGGGTTAGCTACATGCGATGGCAAAAGATGGGGAGCATGGGTTGAGCTACATGCAATGGCAAAAGATGGAGTGAGCTACATACAATGGCAAAAGATGGGGGGCATAGGGTGAGCTACATACAATGGCAAAAGATGGGCATGGGGTGAGCTACATACAATGGCAAAAGATGGGCATGGAGTGAGCTACATACAATGGCAAAAGATGGGCATGGGGTGAGCTACATGCGATGGCAAAAGATTGGGGGCGTGGGGTGAGCTACATACAATGGCAAAAGATGGGGGGCATGGGGTGAGCTACATGCGATGGCAAAAGATGGAGTGAGCTACATGCGATGGCAAAAGATTGGGGGCGTGGGGTGAGCTACATACAATGGCAAAAGATGGGCATGGGGTGAGCTACATGCGATGGAAAAAGATGGAGTGAGCTACATGCGATGGCAAAAGATGGAGTGAGCTACGTGCTATGGGAAAAGATGGGGGACATGGGGTGAGCTACGTGATATGGGAAAAAATGGGGGACATGGGGTGAGCTACGTGCTATGGGAAAAGATGGGGGACATGGGGTGAGCTACGTGCTATGGGAAAAGATGGGGTGAGCTACATGCGATGGCAAAAGATGGAGTGAGCTACATGCGATGGCAAAAGATGGAGTGAGCTACGTGCTATGGGAAAAGATGGGGGACATGGGGTGAGCTACGTGCTATGGGAAAAGATGGGGGACATGGGGTGAGCTACGTGCTATGGAAAAAGATGGGGGACATGGGGTGAGCTACGTGCTATGGGAAAAGATGGGGGACATGGGGTGAGCTACATACAATAGCAAAAGATGGGGGGCATGGAGTGAGCTACATGCGATGGCAAAAGATGGACATTGGGTGGGCTACGTGCTATGGCAAAAGATTGGGTGAGGTACATGTGATGGCATCAGATAGGATTACTTGATGTGAGTTGTTTGAGGGCCTATGCTTCATTCCGGGATAAAGGGCAAAAGAAGCAGAATACTTCTGTGGACCCCCGTGTGGGTTAACGGGCCCCATTATGGGGAAAACAAGAATAGACTCACTGCCTCCCCAAAAGCATATCGTAAGAGTCGACTAATAGGTGAGCTTCCTTTGAAGTCAGAGTGCATCTGCTGTAGAGGCAAGGAACCAACAGTCTGTGTTCAAGAGAATGAGATCTGTCAAACTGATGCACACGCAACACTTAGGTTCTGTAGCAGGACTGCAGTTCACTAGTGGACGAGCAACCAGAACTTTCCGCCAGAGTGTACAGCTGGGGAAGGCAAAGAAGAAGACTTCTGTGGATATCACAAAAATTAGTTTGAAGTGTTCAGCTTTTATGTAAGCAAACTAGTTGAATTGAGAATCATCATCATAGCTCTTGGGACACTCCCAACTACGCTCTGTCCCCATCTTCAGCAGCAAGCTGAAAGTTCCAGTTCCAATGCAGACAGTTTCTCCTCACAGTACTCAATGGCAACAGTAGAGATTGATAATGCATCAGTTGAAAAAAGGGGGAGGGGGTTGCGGTGGCCAAGCAAAGCTCTGCCCTAAGTGAACTTACATGTCTGATGGGATGCACTGTTACTTCTCTATCCCTAACGGTATCTTTTTAAACCCAGACTGTTTCATCCTTACTGCACAGGAGGTCTTTAGCAAGATGAAAAACATACCAATAAAAAGATGTCCATCTATGGATTTAAAAAATTTGTTAAAGTGCTTTATAGAATCTTTGTGTGGGACATAAACACTAAATAAACAAGCTTAAAGTGAACTTTTTATTTTTTTTATTTACTCACAGCTATGTGGTTTTTGAGAAGGTTAGTTGCGTATCCTTTACAGGACGTTGCAGAACCAACCCCAACAGCTCCTGGCTGTTGTGTGTGTTTTTCTAGACAAATTTACCTCCAGTAGTTTTTGAGAAGAATATAAAGAATATTATGGGGGAAGAAAATGAGACAGATGAAATCCATAGACTGATTAGATGTAGACAGTCAGTTTTTTTCGGACATGTTTTAAGGGATTGGCATGAGGATTTGGTTAACGGCTAGTGGGATTGAAAGATAGAGAGCATTCTCAAAGGGAAAACTTCTCAGAATATTGTTGGGGTTCACATGGGAGGATAAAATCAGCATTTCTAGATGACAACAAATGACAGATTTAGATAATGTAAATTTAGAAATAAAAAAAGGGAGGTGGATTGGACACATCTTCAGAATGAAGAAAGAGAGATGGCCGAGAGAAACAGTGCAATGGACACCACAAGGACAGCGAGGAAGAAGCAGTCTTGGAAGTGAACTTTTGAGGTTGAACACAAGGCTATGCGAAGGACAAAACTGGAGATAGGATGGCTCAGAATTGAATTGAGTGGCGGCAGTTTGTCTATGCCTTGTGTGCCACTGGGCGTGATGATGATTGCTTGATTGAGTGGGATTGATGGAAAAATGGAGTGGAGGTCAAAGGGGTAAATATCTAGGTGGCTTGGCTTGGCCATTTGTGTTGGGCGATGAAGGAACACTGCCCTGATTTGTGATTCTGGTGATCACGTGAGGGGGTGAAACCTGACAGCCTACACTTATCAGCGAGGCACATCATTATTTTATCTCAATGAATACAAAACTGTCCTCTGTAGTGTGCAAAACCAATTGGGAAAACCCAGAAATTATTTACATTTGGGTCAGTGACTGCACAAAGTGATGTCATTTACAACAAATGGACAACTTGAAATGCAGTACATTTCATCCTTGTTTACAAATGTAAGGCATGCATATCTGTAAAACCTGCCACACATTTTCTTATTGTTGTTGGTTCTTTTTAGGGTGAATACTATCATCTGTTGGCCGAGAAGATTTACAAGATCCAGAAAGAACTTGAAGAGAAGAGAATTCAGAGAATGAAAGGAATGAACGTACAGAATGCTCAAGTTGGAAATGTTGGCATCATGGCACCTCAGATCAGACCACTTACACAAAGTAATTGTTTGTATGGTTCTTTAATTATTTAAGTAATAGATTGAATGGTTTCTTAAGTAGTAGTTTGTAGTAGTACTTTAGTATATTGTATGGTTCTTCAAGTAATATTTCTTATGTTAATTTTGATTTAAGAGTTAATTAGCTAACAGGGGGATAATCTCATAACAGAGATTGCCACAAATGATAGGGCTTTTCTTATGTCTTGTCTTGAGATGTAGAATAATGACCTGCCCATGCTGGTCAAGTAAATGGCCACCATCTTTGACGAGACTGATAAACTGGGTATTCTGGGGATGTCTATAGTCGTCTTCTGAATTGTGTATAGAGTTGCAGTTCCTGCAGTGCCGCTTTTCTTAGGGATGCCTGATATTCCTGATTAACATTTCCGGGTACCCACTTGGTCTCAGGTGACATGGGGCCCCGAAGTAATATTTGAAATAATTTTGCCATGATTGGAATTGAAACCTTAATACCAGACTGGCATGCCAATGTGTTAGCCACAATGCTGCAGTGGCTATTTTTAGGTTTATAAATAAATGTGGGTTTAAGACCCAAGTTTATTTTTTTTTAAATAATTTCTATATTTGTCTCTTTATTCCCCTGCTGCTTGTAGTAGATTGATTACTTTTAACAAAAGAAAAAAGATGGTTTTTTAAATTATTTAGACAGAGGATGTATCAAATAATATTTGTCTTTTTTAGATGGCATGAATGGAACCCAATTGGGAAATGCCATGTTCAAAGACTTAAACAGCACACAGCCACCCCCACAGCAGTCATCGCCATTGAGGTGGAATTTGAACATGCAGACCTCTTCTCCAACAGGCCAGGTAACTAACCACCATGTTGTTATGTCTAAGTTGTCCTTTAATCATCACCAGTCAGCAAGTCCTTTACAGAACGTCATTTTCTTCATGGCACGCCTGAAAGTGTCCCTTCTCTTAGCCAGCTCTCCGGCCCCATGTGTTTTCAGTGCCAATGCATCCTCAATGTCTTGTATCCATCTTCGCGGTGGTCGACCCCTGCCTCGCCTTCCACAAACTGCACCTTCCATCACCGTCTTTTCCAAGCCACCATGCCGCTTGATGTGGCCAAAATACTTCAACTTTCAGGACAGTATGCTGTTTATGAGCCGGTTCTCCTTGATGTGGCCAAAATACTTCAACTTTCAGGACAGTATGCTGTTTATGAGCCAGTTCTCTTTGAATACAGAATATATATCTTTATTTGTTTGCATCTGTGGCTTACACATTGGCGACCAGGCCGCCCCACTGGCTGGCCAGTAGATGGTTTTAATGTAGGTCGCGACAGTATTTGGGTCCCCCGTGTGGGTTCCGGGGCCCCATTGTGGGGAAAACAAGAATAGACCCACTGCCTCCCCAAAAGCATGTCATAAGAGTCGACTAATTGGGAAGCTTCCTTTGAAGTCGGAGTGCATCTGCCGGAGAGGCAAGGAACCAACAGTCTGTATTCAAGAGAATGAGATCTGTAAAACTGATGCACACGCAACACTCAGGTTCTGGAGCAGGACTGCAGTTCAGTAGTGGACGAGCAACCAGAACCTTCCGCCAGAGTTTACAGCTGGTGAACTTGAAGAAGAAAGAAGAAGTATTTGGGTCTGTCTCCTACAATAGCATCAGCACTGCAAGAGTCCTTTTCAGGGCTTCTTCTTGGTGGTGAGCAGTCTTTACCCATTTTAGATGGGGCACATAAACGTAGTCACAGTTATAACCAAAAGCTCCCCCTTGGGGGATGCTGGTTGAACATGATGAAATAGTTTGCCTGCCCAGAATGATTCCAATATTTCTGGGGCGACATCAAATAAAAAATCTCAGTTTTACACTCCGGGCTCAGTCTCCTCCATTAGCCTCCTCATGAGTTGAATACATTTGATTGTATTAGCTGTATATAAGATAGACTATCAAAATAATCACACATGAAGAAACAGCCAAAACATCTTTCCGCATGTGATTTCATAAATATGATAGTTCATTAAATTTCAATGGTAACATAAATATTCAAGTTATATAACTATAAAACATTTACACTGAAAACATTGATTAAGATTTAGAGTGATTTGACAGCTCCCTATTGAAATGGAGAAATGTTCAGTATAAGTACTTTAAAGAAGTAAATGCACACATTTGAGCAGAGGGACAAAAAATAAAGGTTGATAATATTGCTTACCAGGAAAATGACCAGGCCACAAACGTCAGTCTCAAGGCTTAAGAATTTTTGTTAGCCAGCATAAGGTTGATTGTGTATCCTTGACAGAACTTTGCAGAACCAACCCCAACAGCTCCTGGCTGTTGTGTGGTTTTTCTAGGCAAATTTACGTCCAGTAGTTTGCTATTGCTTTCTGGACTGTCGGCTTTCTTGATACCACTGTCAAAACTAACGCAAGGCGCATGGCCTGCAGCTGGAATCGATCCTGGCATTACGAAGTGTTCGCATCGATTTAGCCACAGAGCCGACAGCCAGCATAAGACTGGCACTGTTAACCACGGGATGCTGTTGTATATGTTGGAGACTGAGCACAGTGGATGTGTCTAGAGTGCTGTGAAGGTAACCCAGTTCATAACTTAAAATATTCCTGACAAGACAATAATTTACATTTTTTTTTAAACAGATGTCTAATGCGAATACATCTAACAATCAGATGTCTGTGAACGCTGCACTTGCTGAATCTGCGCAGCAGTTTGATGCTCTGAAACACACCTTGTCACAGCAGTCTGCTGGCAGATTCATGATGCCCACCTCCACCATTTCATCCACTCACCCATCACCACAGCAGCAGCAGCAACAACAGCAGCACCAACAGCAACAACAACAACAGCAGCAGGGTCTGCACCAGCAGCTGATGTCTCAACCACAAGTTGTTCAAGTTCAGGTAAGATTGCCATTATTTGTCAGGGATCACTAGATTTACTGTGTAGTAATTCTCAGACATTTTTCCTCTTTGTTCTGTCTTTGAAAATGTCTTACATTAACAAACAAAAAAAAAATTTTTTTTAATCATAAACTAGTTTAAACTTTTTGCCCCGGACGTTTAAAAAAAAAATTCATTTGACACAAGTCACTAATAAATTAAAAATAATATATATATATATAAATGATCTTCATTTTAGAAAATGTTTTTCTAGTAATATATTAAGGGGTAGTCTGTATATATGAATGGTGAGATGCTTTAAATAAAACACATTTCGCAGAGCACAACCATTTATTGGGTTAATTCATACCTTAACCCTGTGGGAACTGCACACTGAGGCAGTGAGTAAATTACGACTTAAGGATAGCTTTGAAATAGCCCCTTTGTTCTTAAGAAAAAAACTTCAAAATTCTGCTCTGAGTAAAAATCATACCCTGACCCGCTAAACACTGCACAGTCGCAAACACAACCTATGGCATTAATTAGGCTTCTCCAGGACAAGACACTGCTACAGTGCCAGGTAAACAGCATTTCTCAGATTGAGTCACAGAAGAAAATACCTGGTTCACGGTTTCTCAAGACAAAAAGGTTAATTTAATGAGGTATAACTTCAGCATGGACAGACGACATGCATGTGAAGTGTTGAGGCCCTGCATCTTTTGGCCACTGCAAAAAAAAGTTGTGCAGTGTCAGTGGGAATTTGTGTGTGTAGTATGAAATTTTATTATTGTTGTTGGACACTAGCAGTTACTACTTGTCTTGTGAATAGTAAAGTGTACCAGCAAGTATCATTGCCAGACTTACCATTTCATCCATCATTTGTTTTGGGAACCATATTGCGATATCACACCGCCGTACACACCATTTCACTATCTAACAAGTGTCTAGGGTGTATGATTTATTGAGGACATTCCTTTCTGTGTCAAGCACTAGTTAAGTCTCTGAGAAACCAGTAACTGCTTAATGAAACTATAATAAATCACTCAAGGTAAGATTTACTAGTGCCATCAATTTTTTTTGATATGGATGAACACATGGCGACGATAAATTGGTGATGTAAGATGAACAAGAAGTCTCTCGGTCACTCTCGTTCAGTTAATGGCTGACTCACTCAATACAGACTGGAACAAAGTCCGAACAGTTCCCAATCAACCACTTAAAGACTGTAACCCACAAGGTTTGCAAGCACGATTAAAGTATGCTCTGCTAGCACACTACACTGGCACAATGTACGAACAGTGCTCCTCAGATTCCACAACTGGACAGAATGCAATACATCCTTGCACTCTTTGTCCTGATGGCCGCCACAGGCACCTTCCGCCCGATCGGGCAGAATCCATCTTTCACTGATGGCTGTGACTTTCCTCTGGCGACTCTCTATCCTAGGGACCCTGCCAAATTGGTGAATAAAATCCGAAACGTCGTCTGATACCTTTTCACACCTGAAATTATTCCATACATCTCCCCATCACCACCTCACACTGATTTCTACACACAGTGACTGCAAGTCAACCAGCGTGACACTTAGGATGCACCAGTGCCAGCTCCACCACACGCGGGCCAACACATACTCTGTCCTCTGACAAATATCTACACTAAAAGCATTCAGAGCTCCATTTTCTAATACACCAAATTCAACTAGACCGTACAGACACTCCGTCAGAATAAAAACATGATTAAAACTGTCACACAACACGAAGAAGCGTCCAAACTCTCTCTCTCTCTCTGCCTGAGGGCTGCTGAATCTGACTACCACAGGATTTGTCTACCAGCGTTAACTCTCAAGTGGGTCTGGCCATACCTGTGGAATTTTCAAATCTCCGACAACACGACTTCCATTCTCTTTCAACGGCCCAAGTATCCACATTGCTTCTCACTTTGGTCACTCATCTCATGAATAATGTGTACTTTCACACCCTCTGACCTCTGGCATAAACGCCTAGTTAGCACACAACAGTTTGGGAAGAGGCATATGAATGCCAGTCTTCACTTTTTTATGTGGATAAATAATTAATGCAGTTTTTGGCTTAGGCAAATTTTGAAGTTTGGTTTAGAGTGGCTATTTATTTGGTAGCAATCAGATTTTGTAACACCATCATGTGGGACTGACCAGCATCTGCAGATTAACTCATTTTTCTGAACGCCTACAGCTTTTACTTTCCTAAATGAGAAAGGACCCTTTTCCCCACCTTCAGGCAGATTGTACCTTTAGGGCTAGACCTGTATTTTACAGACCAATCAGCTCTCCATGGGTGATATGGTCAGCATCATGCTGGTAGTTCTATTTAATAGAACTACACCTGGTGCCCACTCAAGGCTGGGTCAACCTGGGAGCCAAGAATTTTTTTTTTTAAATGTCAGGCTCCGTCAGGACCTGAACCTATGACCTTCCAATCCACATGCAAGCATCTAGCCCCTACATCACTGCAGCTTCCTTACTTTCCTAAATACCTGCCTAAAAAACCTCGCCACCTGCAAGTATTTAATATAATAACACATGATGTTTATAGTGCTAAAATTACAATGTTGCTAAATATTTTTTCGGCAGGTGTCTAACCAGCATTCTGTAATGTCGAATTCTCAAATGCAGTCTGCCATGCAGAGTCGCTGTACGTCATCAGTGACTGACATGGTGGGCGGCAACGGCCAGGTAATGGGGGGTATGGAGATCACTTCCGGTAGCACCATGGACAGCGTGCTGGCTCACAATGGTGTTCACATGAACAATTCTCAGCAGTCGCTGTTCCAGCAGCTGTCAACTTCTGCTGCTTCTGCGACAACTCCAGCTGATCATTCCACACATTTGTCCTTGTCCAGAACCCCACAGTCTAGTGTGCAGATTTCCTGTAAAGAAATGAATGTAAGTTCCTCATTTGGTTGTATTGTGTGTTTTTTTTTTTTTAATGATACAGTATTGGATTACATAATTATTTTTTGGCCTATCTGTATGCAGCAATTATTGTTTGGCCTATCCGGATGCAGTAATTATTGTTTGGCCTATCTGGATACAGTTATTATTGTTTTGCCTATCTGGATACAGTAATTATTGTTTGGCCTGTCTGGATACTGGTTTCAACCAGTGACCATAAAAAACCAATCACTTGAAAATGTAGAACATTTCACGTATCTTGGCAGTGTGGTGTCCCTACTGGGAAGACATACAGTCACGTCTGAACAAAGCTAGAGCTGCTTTTGGAAGGATGAGGCAAATCTGGAAATCCAACAATTACTGCAGAGGAACGAAACTCCGACTCTACAAGAGCATCATTTTGCCCGTTCTTCTCTTTGGAGCGGAATGCTGGAGAATGACCAAAAAGGATGCGCACAAGCTGTCTACCTTCCACCACACATGTCTACGTAGAGTAGAATTATCAAAATTTTCTGGTCAGATACAATTTCAAACACTAAACTACTTCAAACCACAAACCAAGAAACTTTAGACAGTATGATTACCAAGAGAAGATGGAAATGGCTTAGCCACGTTATGAGAATGACTTCTGATATACCTGCCAAAACAGCTCTCACATGGACACCAGAGGGGAAAAGAAAACAGGGGCGCCCAAAAACAACATGCAGACGAACGATGGAAAGTGACCTGAGTGCGGCATCTTTGACATGGAAAACTGCATTGAAGATTGCACAGGACAGGAAAGCATGGAAAGTCCTCTCTGAAGCCTCATGTGCCACTAGGCATAAAGAGAACTGATGATGATGATGTCTGGATACAGTAATTATTGCTTGGCCTGTCTGGATACAGTAATTATTGTTTGGCCTGTCTGGATACAGTAATTATTGTTTGAGCTATCTGGATACAGTAATTATTGTTTGGCCTATCTGGATACAGTAATTATTGTTTGGCCTATCTGGATATAGTAATTGTTGTTTGAGCTATCTGAATACAGTAATTATTGTTTGGCCTGTCTGGATGTAGTAATTATTTTTTGACCTATCTGGATACAGTAATTATTGTTTGGCCTATCTGGATACAGTAATTATTGTTTGGCCTATCTGGATATAGTAATTGTTGTTTGAGCTATCTGAATACAGTAATTATTGTTTGGCCTGTCTGGATATAGTAATTGTTGTTTGAGCTATCTGGATACAGTAATTATTGTTTGGCCTATCTGGATATAGTAATTGTTGTTTGAGCTATCTGGATACAGTAATTATTGTTTGGCCTGTCTGGATATAGTAATTATTGTTTGACCTATCTGGATACAGTAATTATTGTTTGGCCTGTCTGGATATAGTAATTATTGTTTGACCTATCTGGATACAGTAATTATTGTTTGGCCTGTCTGGATAGAGTAATTATTGTTTGGCCTGTCTGGATATAAAATATTGTTTGACCTATCTGAATATATTAATTATACATTTGTGTAATAAAAGGCGACAAATTATGAGTTTACTAAAATTTGATGTTTTGTGCCAAAAGATGCAAATATGATTACTTAGCTTTAAACCACAAACGTATCAACCACCCTTTATTGTGTGAACACTGAAGAAAAAGTGGTCATCATTGAAACAAGGTTTATATTACAAGGTTTTCGCTCAAGGGAAAGTCGAGACAGATACACAGTCTGACAGCTATTGGAATTGGACTTCCTCGCTTGCTGCTGAAGATGGGGAGGGAGTACTTATGGGAATTTCCCGAGTGCTGTGATGCTAATTTTTAATTCAAATTCAACATTTATATTACAAGGTTTGAAACTGCACAACATATCCTGTGTTGAAATTAGCGTTCGAATTGTCATTTCCTGTGCCCCTCCTAACTCAATATGGTACTAATACCATTATTATTATTTTCCTTTTTCAGAACGATCATACGCTGGGATCTGATGGCATTTGTAAACAAGAGACTGTTAGTAAAGACTCGGGTGCATGTGAAAACAGTCAGAATCTGTCTAGTCTTTTGTTGGCGGCATCCCCTTCAACATTATCACTGTCTGCGGTGACCCCGACCATATCTGTGGCATCGTCCACGACCTCGACCATGCTCAGCTCACCAGCTGTGAAGGTTGAAGTCAAATCAGAGCCTCCCTCCGATTGGAAACCAGACTGTAATTTGAAAGAAGAACGTATGGATGTAACTGCCGAGTCCAGCTGCAAGGCAGAAGTTAGCAGTGTCAAGGAGGAAAATAGTTCCTCTGTCATGAAATTAGAAAGCGCAGGAGAGAATTCTCAAGCCAGCAGTATCGGCGAGGAGAAATCTTCTCCTGCAGATGTTGCCTCTGGTGTTGTGTCTACTGCAAAGCCACGATGCAAGAAGGGTGAGTTGATGCACTGTGCCTGGTTTGTTCGGTCTGTGGTTTGTGGTTAAACTGAATGACCCCTTTCACAGTATTGGACCATTGGCGTGTGGTCCTAAATGCATAATTGAATTGACCAGTCTGGACTTAATGTATGATGTGGTCAACATCTTGCTGACTGTGTTTACAGCACGTGATCCCAAGTGGGTTCTGGGGTTTCATTTTGGGGGGAAAGAATAGGCCCACTCCCTTCCTTAACAACTGTGTAGTAAAAGGGGACTAATTAGCAGCTGTCCTTGGAATGAAGTGCCTCTGTCTGAGAGGTGAGGAACCAACAGTTTGTGTGGAGATAACCCAGATCTGTAAAACAGATGTGCACGCAAAACATGTTCTGGAACAAGACTTAAGTCCAGAGGTAGGCAGACAACCAGAACATTTCTCTCTGGAGGAGTTTACAGCCGGAGAACACAAAGAAGAAGACTTCCTGTGACATTTCCTGGCACCCATTTTAGATGGGGTCTTCCTGGAGGCTTAGGTCAATTATCTTCTTTGCGTTCGCTGGCTGTAAACTCCAGTGGAAAGTTCTGGTTGTTTGTAAACTTAGTAGTATACACTGTACACAGGGTTGCACTAATGATGGACCAAAGCTAACATTAGTGTGTAGTGTCTTAGTTAAGGTTTCAACTTCTCTGCAATCGGGTCTCTCCATACTTGCTCCGTTCAATCCGTTCAAATGAAATGTCTCTCACTGTGCCATCTGAAAAACTGGTAAACAATATAATTAGTCCTGGCACAATCCAGAAATATGTGCATACAGTAAATGCAAATAACCATTGATAGAGGCCCCAAAGCCAGTATCCGTTGATAGTAGCAGTTATGCACGATAAGTTGGCTATAGACCAATTGACACAATATAGGTGATGTGTTTAGCATCACGCCAGCCGCCTTTACTTCCCGGGACTGCACCCGGTACCCAATCAAGGCTGGGTTAACCTGGGAGTCGAGGTCATTTTTGAAAAAAGTCCGGCTTCACCAGAAAGCGAACCCACGACCTTCCGATCTGCGGTGAGCTTCTAGCTGCTCCACCACGGTGAGCTTCTAGGCGCTCCACCACGGCGACTCCCCAGGTACAACGTAACTATGTTAATAATTAAATGTTATGTTTATATTTAAATGTGTTGCTCTCTCCCCTCAGTCTTCGACCCTGACGAGCTAAGACAAGCCTTGATGCCAGTGTGGGAGAAAATACAGAAGCAAGATCCAGAGTCTCTTCCCTTCCAGACACCTGTGGATCCAATTGCACTTCAGATTCCAGTAAGAGTCCTTTGTGCCCTTGGTGCCTCTCAGTGTTTAAACATTTAGTCTTTCAGTACCAAACAACTGAACATATGTTTCTTGGTCATTACCAAGATTAAAGGTTTGATGTTTTAATAACCCGTTATTCCCCGTGTGGGTTTCGGTGCCCATTGGGGGGGGGGGGGGGCAAACAAGAATAGACCCACTGCCTCCTCCCCAACAAGCATATTTGGGGGCAAACAACAACTCACAGAATGGAGGCACAAGAATAGCCTCCTCCCCAACAAGCACTGGAGGCAAACAAGAATAGACCCCAACAAGCATATTTGGGGGCAAACAAGAATAGACCCACAGCCTCCTCCCCAACAATCATGTTTGGGGGCAAACAAGAATAGACCCACTGCCTCCTCCCCAACAATCATGTTTGGGGGCAAACTAGAATAGACCCACTGCCTCCTCCCCAACAATCATGTTTGGGGGCAAACAAGAATAGACCCACTGCCTCCTCCCCAACAATCATGTTTGGGGGCAAACAAGAATAGACTCACTGCCTCCTCCCCAACAATCATGTTTGGAGGCAAACAAGAATAGACCCACTGCCTCCTCCCCAACAATCATGTTTGGGGGCAAACTAGAATAGACCCACTGCCTCCTCCCCAACAATCATGTTTGGGGGCAAACAAGAATAGACCCACTGCCTCCTCCCCAACAATCATGTTTGGGGGCAAACAAGAATAGACCCACTGCCTCCTCCCCAACAATCATGTTTGGAGGCAAACAAGAATAGACTCACTGCCTCCTCCCCAACAAATCATGTTTGGAGGCAAACAACAATCATACAAACCCTGCCTCCTCCCCCAACAATCATGTTTGGAGGCAAACAAGAATAGACCCACTGCCTCCTCCCCAACAATCATGTTTGGGGGAAAACAAGAATAGACCCACTGCCTCCTCCCCAACAATCATGTTTGGGGGCAAACAAGAATAGACCCACTGCCTCCTCCCCAACAATCATGTTTGGGGGCAAACAAGAATAGACCCACTGCCTCCTCCCCAACAATCATGTTTGGGGGCAAACTAGAATAGACCCACTGCCTCCTCCCCAACAATCATGTTTGGAGGCAAACAAGAATAGACCCCCTGCCTCCTCCCCAACAATCATGTTTGGAGGCAAACAAGAATAGACCCACTGCCTCCTCCCCAACAATCATGTTTGGAGGCAAACAAGAATAGACCCACTGCCTCCTCCCCAACAATCATGTTTGGAGGCAAACAAGAATAGACCCACTGCCTCCTCCCCAACAAGCATATTTGGAGGCAAACAAGAATAGACTCACAGCCTCCTCCCCAACAAGCATGTCATAAGAGTAAACTAATTGGGGGCTTCCTTCAAAGTCGGAGTGCACATGCCTGAGAGGCAAGGAACCAACAATCTGCATACAATTATCTCAGATCTGTTAAGTGGATATGCACGTAACACTCAGGTTCTGGGACAAGTCTAAAGTCCAGAGGTGAACAAAAACCACAACTTTCCGCAAGAGTTTACAGCCAATAAACTTGAGAAGATTAAACCCGTTGTAAAAAAGTAAAATGAAGAACCCTTTTTTTCGCGCCTTCAGTTGTATTGGGCATGCAGGTTGGACTAGTAACTAATTTGTAGTCCCCAGTCCTGTATTCACACTGGGTTGAGAGAATTATTATATGCACATATTACTTTTCCTTATTATATTGCTAGTTTTCCTTTTCCAGCGCATGGTGTGAAATATATTATTTTTAAAACTAGTGTCATAGTTTTTATGGGTGTTCTTGTTAATCCTGTAATTAATATGTGTGCTTTTTTTCTTTTGTTAGATATATGGACATACTGTAGCATTTATTATTTTACAATTTTTTTTAGGAAATTCTAAAGTTGTCTACTAACTGAATGTGTACATCCACAGGATTATTTTGAAATTGTGAAGAAGCCGATGGACTTGCAGACCATTAGAAACAACCTAGATTCTGGAGTGTACAAAGATCCTTGGGAGTTTGTGGATGATATGTGGCTCATGATTGACAATGCTTGGCTGTACAACAAGAAGACCTCCAGGGTTCACAAGTATGCTTCCAAGGTAACTGACTGCTGGTGATTCTTCTTCTTCCAGTTAGAGTGAGCTTTAGAAACAGGAAGCACTTAAAATATATATTTTTTTTATATTTGGGGGGGGGGGGGGGGGTTTAAAAAAAAATCCTCTTTTTTCCCTATCTTTTCTTCTCTAAGTGTCTGTGGCTTAGAGGTTGCGAACCCGCTTTTTAATGCCGGGTTAGATCTCAGCTGCTGGCCTTGCATTGGTTTCGACAGTGGTGTTGAGATGCCGGCTGTCCAGAGAACAATTGCAAACAAACTGGATGTAGACTTGCCTACAAAAACCACAACAGTAAAAAAAAATGCTGGGTTTGGTTCTGCAACGTCCTGTAAAGGATATGCAACTAACTTAACTTTTCTAAAGCAACTGTGTGTTTAAAAAAAAAAGTATGGCATGTAAAATAAATTTCATCATTTTTATTCCTTCTTCTCCAAGGCATCTTTGCGTTAACAGAAAAATGTGTTGGTGTAAACAAGAAGGGGGATGAAATGCAGAGAAGCCTTCAATTGGTCCAGTTATGTCTCATTTGATGGCATTTTTAATGACATTGCTGTCATGCATTTTCTGTTGTCTTTTTTTTCAGTTAGCAGAAGTTTTTGAGGCTGAGATTGACAGTGTCATGGAGTCACTGGGCTACTGCTGTGGTCACAAGTATGTTTTCTGCCCCCAAGTTCTCTGTTGCTATGGCAAGCAGCTGTGTACTATTCCCAGGGATGCCATGTATTATAGCTACCAAAACAGGTAAGGGCCAAGCTGAGATTTTGTGTAACTCTGTAAACGTATGTCTTCTTTATCATCCTCATGTTACTGTTAGCATGTCAACACTTCCTTGGCCACCGAAGAAGGGGACTGGGAATGTCCCGAGTGCACATTGATGTCACTTTTTGATTCATTCATTTTTTTCATCATCTGTTGTGCTGTTTATACATCACATGGACTTGCACTTTTTTCTTCAGTATGAAGGATGAAATCAATTTCAGCAGAAGCAAAGTTTTATAGCAGTAGAGCATATTTTATATGGAAATTCCTACTTATTTTACTCTGCAAAACTAATTACAGCAATTTTACTTTCATTTTGCAGTTTTACTTTGTTTGCATTTGAGCAGTTTGAACATTTGTATTTTTTTAAATTGTGCAGATATGTTTACTGTGAGAAGTGTTTCCAAGAAATCCAAACAGAGGAGGTTGAATTATCAGAGGATCCTACCCAGCCAGTCACGTAAGTGGAGGCTGCTCTTAGTTTTGTACTTTTACATTATAGGATCACCTCCGTAACTGAAAGTAATCATTTTTTTTAGTACAAGAAGTCGATGATGTCAGGGGAAGAGTCGGCACAGATCGAATACTGAACTTTATAGGTAGACAAACAAATCAGATAGTTTAGCCATGTAACAAGATTGGCACCAGATAATGTGGTAACAGAGCCAGGGGTTAACCATGCAGATTATAGACTGCAGAAATATCAGTCACTGAAAAGTACTTTATGCGAAGTGAACAGAAATGCCCATTCCAGAGATCTTGTTCTACCCTGGCGCCGCAAAGCATTCCAGGAACAGAAGAGAGTAAGAAGAATAAGGTTAACTTTCAGATTGTCTTCTTAGTCATTCTGAGCCCTTGAGGATCAGGGCCGCAAACATCACCCTTCTTATCTGTGTAATTGGCCTTCTTTTTCCACTTTGTGACTCCAAGTGGGACCGTTACTCCCACTTTGTAAAATCTAATTGTGTCTTTAAAATCCATGTTTCCATGACTAAATTTATTATTCTTACAATCAAAGCTGTGTGGCATTGGTAGTCATGTCTGTCCATAGCCAGCTGTGTGGCATTGGTAGTCATGTCTGTCCACAGCCTCCTGTCTCATGTGCTGTCAGTAATTTTTGCCTTCTCTCCATGACTAAAGAAGGACCACAGGACTATGAATCCTATATAACAAGTACACATTGAACAACAGGCACTGATAAAACAGACAGTTATGATTGATTGATTGTTGGATTTAAATTTCAGTTTAAAAGGATTCAGTTGTTTGCTTCATTTATGTAATTGTTACTGTAGTATGCACCTGATGAGATACAGCAAAATATGCCAGTCATTAAATTGTGCAATCTGTTGTTTATGTCTTCTTTATTCACACTTTATTATATGTTTGTGATGAGATCTATTCGGTATAAAGATGTGCCATTACTGTTGATTCTACAGGAAGATCAGAAAAGACCAGTTTGAGCGAGTGAAAAATGATCAGCTAGACTATGAGCCGTAAGTATATGGTTCTTGTTTTGTTATTTATTGAATCTTGCTGTGTGTAGCGATTTAGATCTGAGCTTAGTGTGCAAGGTTTGAGAAAACTGTTGCAAAGTGGTTACTTTCCCTGTGTCCGTTCATTCTTCTTCTTCTTCTTCTTCTTCGTGTTTGCCAGATGTAAACTCCAGCGGAAAGTTCTGGTTGTTCATCCACCCCTGAACTGCAGTCCTGTTCAGAACCTGAGTGTTGCATGTGCATCCGTTTGACAGATCTGACTAATTTGTATGCAGACTGCTGGTTCCTTGCCTCTCAGGCAGATGCTCTCTGACCTCGAAGAAAGCTCCCAATTAGTCAACTCTTAAGACAGGCTTTTGGGTAGGCAGTGGGTCTATTCTTGTTTTCCCTATATAATAGGGCCCTGGAACCCACAGGGGGATCAGTTCATTAAAAACTATTGTGACTAACTATAATCTTATTCTTGGGTCCTTTATTGGTTCTCCTTGAGCTAATTATTGCATGATGAATGCTACAAATATTTTATAAATAATTTGTATGGTTTTCTTTCTTCTTCTCCTCCTCCTTCTGCATTTGCTGAAAAGGTAGTTAGCACGTTGTGTTGTAGGTTACAGCTAGCCTGATATCTTGGCCTTTCAGTCCAACATATACAGTTGCAGCAGGCCACTAATTAGCTACCACTATGACATGATTGGGGGAGGAAAAAGGGGGGGGGGGGGTAGAGTAAATCTATCCTTTTATTACACTAGTCACTAATAAATTTAAAAGAAAAAAATGTATATACATTGACAATCCCCCCACCCTCAAGGGTGTATACAGATATTTAAAGGGGTAATCAGTAAACACGAACAGAGTAAAAAGTTAAATGGAATAAATTCCCTGGGGCCAAGAAATGAATCAGGTAACTCATGCTATGACTCTGTCATTGAGGTTTCCAGGAAATTTTTTAAAAGGAGGCATCAACTTAGTTAATAGGATTGGTTATTTTTTTTCATGTAGTAACAGATTTTTGATGGTCGCATAATTGTTGGATTCATGTAATAGCTTGTCGGTCTGTGACATTTGTCATTAAAAACCAAACATCTTTAATTTACAAGTACAGCAGTACATTTTATGACAAAATGTTTCTGATATTTGTGTTTTTACACATTTCCAGTTTTGTGGACTGTTTGGAGTGTGGAAGAAAATGGCATCAGATCTGTGCCTTATGGTTTGAATCAATCTGGAGAGAAGGGTGAGTATACAGAGAGAGCACTAGCACTTGAAATGTATTTTATATTTTATCTTTCTGGAGGAATCTTAACTATATGCTTTATTGGGCATAGTGGTGTCAGTCTCCACAGAGGCATGATTAAATGTTTCCCGACCATGCACCACTGGGACTGAGGAAGTGAGGATGTTTCCCCCCCCCCCTTCCCCCCAAATGAAGGTTGATGAGACATGCCAAAAGCACTGGACTGGATTGCATCCATGAAATCGAAAGGATTTCCCTAGTATAAAACAAATAAGAGGGATAGACTGTGAGCCCTGTGTGGACACAACCAGACAAAAATAATTGTGATACAGATTTGGTCATGAACCAGCATCAGTATAATGGCTGCGAGACAGGTTTTATAATTTTCTGGAACTTGTCCCAAAAGAAAGGTTGATAAGGGAAATTGACACCCAATCTTGTATTTCATGGCTTAGATTCTGTAGAAACCGCAGAGCAATAACTGTTAAGGAGGCGGCTGCCTCTGTTTGTTTCTTAGTGGAATTTTGTTTTGTGGACGGCATTGAATAATCTGGAATACAGCATATAAACTCTTTGATGGATGTTGCAAATATTGCAAAGCAGGCGTGTCATAATCAGCACACAAAGGGCATTCGCTGTTCAGCACACTTCCAGACATCATTATGGCGTTAATGTCAGACAGGACACTAACAGAATAGACACACAAAAAAAGAAAATGATGAAAGTACTTCTCCTGTGTTTTCCTTTTACACGGGTGGCTAGTATGTTGTATTGTGGTTTACCGCTAGGCTGTGATATCTGCACCTTCCGCCCCAACACATCAAATTTAAGCAAACCTGTAATTGGTTACCTTTTACGACATGCCTGTTTGGGAGCCGTGGGTCTGTTCTTCGCCTACTCCCCAAATAGCGCTCCTGGGCTCAGATGAAACACTTAGGATTTATTCTGAATATAACCTCAGGAGTCAGGATAAGAATGATACTATGAAGCAAATAAGGATGGCATCAGAACCTTTTTTTTTTTTTTTTCTGGACACCCAGAGGAGGTGAAGAGGAGGAGGAGAATAAACAGCAACAGTGTAAATATTCTATTCCACAGGTATCTTCAGCACTTTGACACAGTGGATTCAACAAGAAAAATTGGATTGTCTTAGGCTGTGAATGCCACTATATATGAAGCATACACCACAAGTTCTTGCCTTGTCTTTTCTTAAACTTGACATTGGAAAGGCAACTGAGCAATAAAGGCAACAACGACAAAAATCTGGAAATAGTCTCCTTCTTATGGGCAGTGCACATATTTTACGGAAATTCCATTTGCATTTAGAATTGTGTGTTTAATGGTTTGGCTTGTGCATGGAATTATTTTTTGTTGTTGAAAATATTAACCGTTCCAGTTTCACCTAGGCAGTAATACTTGTTTGTAGTTTGAGAATGTTAAGATCAAATTTTTTAAACCAAGGTAAATGCTGTCTTTCAGATGGACATGTGATGCCTGTCTCAAGGCTAAAGGAGCAAAAAGAAAGGAGAATAGATTCATGGCTAAAAGTAAGTTGTGTAAATATGGCAATATTTTCCTAATCAGCTTAATTCAACTTATGGGAAGGATAAAAAAATGAAGTGAAAATGTAGAGATGTACAAAAAGAAGCTGGTCAGGGCCGCGCGCCCCCCCCCCCCCCCCCCCTCTTCCCCTCCTCCCCAAGATCCCATGTTTAACAGATCTGGACTACTTTTATGCAGACGGTTGGTTCCTTGCAGCCTTGAGTGGGTACCAGGTACAGTCCTGGGAAATAAAGGTGGCCACTGTGATGCTGACCACATCACCCATCTTGTGCCGTTGGTCTATAAAATTTAAGCCCAGCCCTATATACCCAATACGCCCGAAAGGCGTGGACAAGTGTCCTTTACTTTTACATATAGCTATAGAAGTTTAATCAGCGTATAGCTGTAGAGTTTAATTAACATATAACTACAGAGTTTAATCAACATATAACTACAGAGTTTAATCAGCGTATAGCTGTAGAGTTTAATTAACATATAACTACAGAGTTTAATCAACATATAACTACAGAGTTTAATCAACATATAACTACAGAGTTTAATCAACATATAACTACAGAGTTTAATCAACATATAACTACAGAGTTTAATCAACATATAACTACAGAGTTTAACTAACATATAACTACAGAGTTTAATCAACATATAACTACAGAGTTTAATCAACATATAACTACAGAGTTTAATTAACATATAACTACAGAGTTTAATTAACATATAACTACAGAGTTTAATCAACATATAACTACAGAGTTTAATCAACATATAACTACAGAGTTTAATCAACATATAACTACATTTAAAGTTATTGTATAACTACCGGGTTAAATCAGTTCATAATCAGTTTTAACTAAAAAAAAAAACAACATATAATTACAAAGTTAAATCTACAAATAACTAAAGTCAACATATAATGAAGCACAGAAATGAATCCTTTTCACAAAACTATTCAAATCACATTGTCTAGTTAAACTGTACATCTCTTTTCCGTAAATGGATATAGTCAAAAATGCCGGCCAGTCAGTCAGTTAGTTAGGCAGGAGATTGTTTGCATTCACATTGTTTAAACTGACATTGTTTTCAATAATAAAAATGGACACAAGAAAATGTTCAGGGTAGTTAAAGGTTGGTTGGCCATGTGACATTTCATGTGATGATTGGTCTAGAGAAAATGGACCAGTCACCAAATCTTGCCACAGAGGGTAGAATATGATAAGTAAGTGAAATAGCCACATTGGTGCTAAATCACAAATACAAAACATAGAAGCAGGGGAGTAGAGAACCCTCCACATTTAAAGACCAGCGTTGTGCTGGCCAGTTTACTTCCCAAGACGTTCCCTGATACCCATTTTCAGGTGGGTCGACATGGGAGCCAGGATCATTTTTGGGGGGTTAAAAATAACCTTTCTGATCTTTAATTTTAGGAATTGTGTGAGACGCACGTCATGAAATCCCATACTCTAGCAATATGGCTGTGATGATTCATTATGTGTATTTGAGTGGTTAATGTATTTATGGCTTGCTTGATAATTTCCCCAGGATTGCCCACGACAAAGTTGGGCACATTTCTGGAGAACAGAATAAATGGCTTCCTGCGTAAGAAGGACACACAGTGTGGCGAGGTGACAATTAGAGTGTTGTCCAGTTACGAGAAGCATACAGAAGTGAAACCTCTTATGAGGAAAAGGTAAACTTTACAGACATTTGTTGAAAAAATGTTTATGTTTTGATATGCAGCAGTTTTATTATTTTGTATAATTAATTTAAAAAATTGGCCAGTAGCTAGAGCGTATACATGAGAACAGCCTTCTCCAAGACAACAGGCCGGCCAAGAAAGAGATGGGCGGGTGGAGTAAAAGAGACACTAAAGAAATACAGTGTAACATTAATACAAGCTAGACAACTAGTAAAAGACAGGAAACTGCATCTAACTCCTATGAAGCTTTACAGGAAAAGATGTAGGGCAAAAGAAGTATATACTAATGGTCAGACAGTCGAACCTCAAGAGAAAAAAAATGGTTACATTCCGTTTTCTGGCTTTTATAGAGGCTCTCTAGAAATGACATTCTGTCTTTATTGTTCAGTGTAAAAAAATGTTATGGTGATATAATTGTCTTTCTAAAGCCATCTTCCTAAAACTTTTTCAACACACACAAGTTTATTCTTTTCCTACCTTTGTTAGCAGTCTTAGCCTCTTTGCTGTTGTTGCAAGGTGTCATTACATTTAATTCATTATTTGCTCACACATAGATCACTAAATTATTTTTTTTTCCAGATTTGGAAATGAGATGGCTGAATACTTCCCCTACCGTGCCAAGGCATTGTTTGCTTTTGAGGAAATTGATGGAGTTGATGTATGTTTCTTTGGTATGCATGTTCAGGAATATGGCTCATCTTGCCCTATGCCAAACACAAGGTAGGCAGCAGAATCGTCTTTTATTATGGTGGTATTTAACATGGGGGGGGGGGGGGGGGGCACAAATGAAATGAACATGAAGAATCATGGAATCTCAAATGAGCAAGACAAGAGATAGGATAAGAAATGACGGTTTCAGAAAACAAGTTGGGATGAAACCAGTGCTGAACTACATCAGGGGACAACAGATCCGACTGTGTGTGTGTGTCAAGAAAGTGCACCACGGAGAGGCCTGTCTGCTGGAAGACAGAACAGGACTAGAGAAGTGAAAAGGTAACTGTTGACTGCATAATATACAGAATCAGTGGTATGATAGAAGAGTTAGACATGTCAGTGCACTAAGAGCTGCTGCTGCTGGTTAAAACACACATATTGAGAAGCCTGAAAATAACATACAAGGCAGGCACAAATAATCACACAGTGAAGAAAATTAGAGACAAAGGAATATGCAGGGGAGGACATGCAGGAGATAGTGAAAGGTAGGAAGGATTTGCATGAATTGGTTGCTGGGATAGAGGGCAAAAGAAGGCAGCAGTGTCATTGTTTTCACTGCGCTCGCAATGGCAGCGTATTTATAGATGTGATCATTGGAGGAGGTTGTTTCTAAATATGTGCTAAATGATGCTGATGTAACTAAATTTAAAAATAATTGTTGTAATGCATGTAAGTAAAAGCAATGTAAAAGACATTTCCCAAGCTTTCATGCATATATGGGCATGTAGGGCTTGACCTGTATTTTATAGACCAGTGGTGGATAATGTGGTCAGCATCACACCTGCCGCAGATGCTACTCTCATGTAGGCTCCCTTTTATACATGTTAAGTATTGTGTGAATGAGCTCAGGGAGGTGCATGTAGATAGTGGGTAGGCTCACATGCCTGCTTGAAGGTCTGAAGATTCATCCATGTCGAGGCGATTTTAAAAAATGGCGGTTTGACCCAGCCTAACACGAGTACCCATGGTATCCTAACAATTTAAAAATGACAAGTTGATGTTTTACTGCATCACCCTTTCTGGGGGCCTTTGGTCATTTTAAATGTAACANATGTAACTTAAATTTTAAGATAATTGTTGTAACATGTAAGTGAAGTAAAATAGCAATGTAAAAGACATTTTCCAATCTTTCATGCATATATGGGCATGTAGGGCTTGACCTGTATTTTATAGACCAGTGGTGGATAATGTGGTCAGCATCACACCTGCCGCCTTTACTTCTCATAACTTTACCTGGTACTAGTTTAAAGCTGGGTTGACCTGGGAGCCAAGGTCATATTTGTAAAAAGTCTGGCTTCATCGGGGCCTAAACCTATGATCCTTGGATACGCAAGCAAGCGTCTTAGCTGCTACATCATGTAGGCTCCCTATAGTGGGTAGGCTCACATGCCTGCTTGAAGGTCTGAGATTCAAGTCCATGTCGAGGCAGATTTTAAAGAATGGCAGGTTGACCCAGCCTAACACAAGTACCAAATAGTATCCTAACAAGTAAAGGTGACAAGCTTGATATCGACTGCATCACTTACTGGGTGCCGTTTGGACATATAAATGTAACATCATATGATTAATGCGCCACTTGCACACAAGAGTACTTTAATACTGTTAATAAATGAGCAGAAGAATATCGTGTGGGGGGGGGGGGGTTGCAGGAATAAGACCTCATATACCAAGTTAGCTTGTTATTTGGCAGATTAACCATAATCGTTCCTACGGGGGTTGTGTAATGTAACACTTGAGCTAACATTTTGCTAGGTACAGACATTATAAACTGCCCCACTCTAAAAAGTGGTAAATACAGACAGTTATGACAGTGACAGAATGGAGAGGGGTTACTGTTTATAGCAGAGAATAATGGTAGACATAATCAAAGGTCACTCCAGGTTATCCACACAAAGTGGGAATCTTTTCCCTGTGTAGGAGTGAACTCTGAAGGTTGACAGGGCATTGACAGTTTCAGTTAATTACACATATATATGTGTTCCTTTCACATTATGACTATTTTGTGATTTGTAGGTATGTGTGTACATTTCGTAAGGTGGCTGTTTTGTGAATTTGCAGGCTTGTATACATTTCACATTGAAACTATTCTATGTTTGCAGGCGTGTGTACATATCATACTTGGACAGTGTTCACTTCTTTCGACCAAAACAACTCCGGACTGTAGTTTACCATGAGATCCTCATTGGCTACCTAGAATATGCCAAGAATCTTGGCTACACCACGGCTCACATTTGGGCTTGTCCTCCCAGTGAAGGGGATGACTACATTTTCCACTGCCATCCCCCAGAGCAAAAAATCCCCAAGCCTAAAAGGCTGCAGGAATGGTACAAGAAGATGTTGGAGAAAGCTATTCTGGATAGAGTGGTTGTGGATTGTAAGGTAAGCTTGTAACTTGTCTATTTCTAATGAAAAGGTATCAAACCAGATGATAAATAAAATCAGTAAATTTCACAGTATCACTGTCTTCAATAAGACGTGCAAATTACTGATAGCTAGAGAGAACACTAAAAATGAGAATTGTCAAATGTTATATATACCCAATTCTGCTGTATAGTGCAGAAACTGACAATGGACAAGCAACTAGAAAATCGAATTGAGTCTCTGGAAATCTAGGTATACAGAAGAATAGGTCATATTTTATGGAAACAAAAACAGTCTAATGCAGAGGTTCTGAGAGGACTAAACTTGGAAGAGAGTTGCTGAAAGAAATAGAGAAGAGACAATTGGGATACTTCGGTCACATTAAAAGACATAACACGCTTTTGAAGACATTACTGCAGGAGAGCAAGAGGTGCACAATAATACGAGTGGGAAGACAATATCAAGAGATGAATGGGCAGCAGCTTGAGAGAGTGTACAGCCAGGGCAAGAGACTGAGCTCCCTTCTATCTTTCCTGGCTGGCTGCCCTCTTTTCTCTCTGCCCCTCTTTCTTCTCCCTTCCCTGCTTTCTTTCTTTATCTCCCCTCTTGTCTGTATCTTAGCTGCTTCCCCCTCTTCCCCCCCCCCCCCCCCCCCCCCCTTCCATTTCTATATACCTTTATTCTTTTGCTATGTATAAAGCAAATTGAAGTTCAAATTGTTGTGATTTTTGTGTGTGTGTGGATATCATGTCTCTATGGCCTAGCCTACTAGAATATTGTGTATGTTGACATAGTGACGACCTCAAAAATATTAATTTGAATTACAGTTTGCTTTGTATACCTGTGTGTGATTAAACACTGTTTGTGCATGTCACAACCTTAACAAATATTAACAAAGCCATGTTAAATCCTTGCAAGCCCTGTGGAAAAATTTAGCTGAATTTGGCTACAATCCTGTTCTTATTATATGTACGTTTTCTATCTTGTTGACAACTTTAGGATATTTTGAAAGACGCCATTGATGGAGGATTGTCTAGTGCCAAGGACATGGCTTATTTTGATGGTGACTTTTGGCCAAACGTTATGGAAGAAAGCATTATGGAGCTTGATCAAGAAGAAGAGGAGAGAAGAAAAAGAGAGGAAGCCGAAGCTGCAGAAGCTGATGCCCAAGATCCAATTGAAGAAACTAATGATGAGGTAAGCATTTCTAGCTGATTAGTGTAAATTTATGTTCAGTATTTTAGCACAACAATGTGACCGGTATCATCAGTATTGGAACACTGCCCCGAGTGCTGTGATGTCAATTCTTGACTCAACTTTTTTAGCAGTGGCCCAGAGTTATACAGTGAATTAACATTAACTGTTTTTTTCCCACAAGAGAACTGATTACTTACCCACATCAGAAGCAAACCATCTGCAATTTCTATGCATGTCATGAGGAGAAAACTTGAGTACATTGTGATGCTGGGAAAGTTAGAGGGGAAGAGAAGGCGACAGAGAAAAAAGCTGGAGAGTTTAACATCATGACATGGAAGATCATCTATGTCAGAATTGATTAAATGAGCACTAAACAGAAGGTTATGGATAGACATGGCTACCAGCGACACATAGAATAAGTTATAAGAAGAAAAAGTATTTATACTTCTTCATTGTCATGTATTTCAGCCGTTGGTCAGGTTAGAAAGAATCCATTTCACAGTTGTCTGGTTTTATTCTCTTCGTTTATTGACATGGCTAAATTTCTATAGTTTCTTGAACAAATTAGCTGTGTATATAATTTTTGGGAACTTCGTTGGCTAGATGATTACCACCTTGGGGCAATGGGATTGAATTGCATGGGGGATGGTACTCCAAGGTCAGACCAGTCTAATTTATGTACCAGGAAATGTTCTGGGAATTCAAGATGACCATCATGACTTTGACTGAGTCACCCATCAGGTGCCAGTGGGCCTATACAAATTTGTTCTTGGCAGCAGATGCTTGATGTGCCGATGGCTTGAAAAGGGTACTGTCCCTCCCTCCCTCTCTCTCTCTCTCTCTCTCTCTCTCTCTATCTCTCTCCTCTCTCTCTTCTTCTCTCCTCTCCTCTCTCTCTCTCTCTCTCTCTCTCTCTCCCCCTCTCTCTCTCTCTCTCTCCTCTCTCTCTCTCTCTCTCTCCCCCCCCCCCCTCCCTCCCTCCCTCCCCCCTTTTTTTTAACTGTTTAATTTAATTCTCCTTCTTTACATTCTCCCTGCTTTTGTTTTTCATATGAGATGGCCATCCAAGCCTCTATGAAGTCTTAGCTGCAACCACTGGTCCATGCAGCTTAGCTTCCATTAGAATGCCAAGAGGCCTAACCTGCGATCTTTCTACTGTATGTAGTTAGCAGGTCTCTCTAGCACATTTTCAGTATTCTTTGCTGCCTCTCCACATGAGCATTGTTCTGAGTCTTCAGTCTTGACATATTAGGGTCTACTTCTTTCGTGTCAGAAGGTTGATTGTGAATTTAATTGATTTTAATTAAATAATGTGTGACCCCTGCAGTTCCTAAGTCAGCTGTGTTTCCCATTAAAATATATGTTTGAACTTCTGCAGGATATGTCTGGAAAGAAGAAGGATGAGAAGAAATGCCAGAGGAGTAAGAAGGCTAACAAGAACAAGGCAAATGCAAGGAAGAACAACCGCAAGACTAATTTGCCTCAAGGGGACTAATGACTTGACGGCAAAGTTGTACAGCCACATGGATAAGCATAAAGAGGTACTTATGTTCATATGGTCTTCTTTTTCTGCCCTTTATCTCTAGATTCTTCTTTTTCTGCCCATTATCCCTAGATTCTTCTTTTTCTGCCCATTATCCCTAGATTCTTCTTTTTCTGCCCATTATCCCTAGATTCTTCTGTTTCTGCCCATTACCCTAGATTCTTATTTTTCTGCCTTTTATCCCTAGATTCTTCTTTTTCTGCCTTTTATCCCAAGATTCTTCTCTTTCTGCCCATTACCCTAGATTCTTCTTTTTCTGCCTTTTATCCCTAGATTCTTCTGTTTCTGCCTTTTATCCCAAGATTCTTCTGTTTCTGCCTTCTGTCCCAAGATTCTTCTGCTCTTTGTCTCTGTTTTCTTTATCTGCCCTTTGTCTATATTTTCTTTTTGCCCTTTATCTCTTATTTTCTTTATCTGCCCTTTGTCTATATTTTCTTTATGCCCTTTATCTCTTATTTTCTTTATCTGCCCTTTGTCTCTATTTTCTTTATGCCCTTTGTCTCTATTTTCTTTATCTGCCCTTTGTCTATATTTTCTTTATGCTCTTTGTCTCTATTTTCTTTATCTGCCCTTTGTCTATATTTTTTTTGCCCTTTGTCTCTATTTTCTTTATCTGCCCTTTGTCTATATTTTCTTTACGCCCTTTGTCTATATTTTCTTTATCTGCCCTTTGTCTATATTTTCTTTTTTTTGCCCTTTGTCTCTATTTTCTTTATCTGCCCTTTGTCTATATTTTCTTTTTTCTTCTACCCTTAATTTTTGGTTTCTTTTTCTACTCTTTATCCCTAGTTTCTTTGTCTTCTGCTCTTTATCCCCCAGTTGAGCATAGGCTGTGTACTAACTCATGCCAGCTCGCCAGATCCTTTGCTAGTGCAATTAACTTGCCCAAAGTCCTGTTCATATGTCTAACTTCTCTCTTCTTCCCTTATGTTTGTGTGTTTTGATCTGCCTTTATTCCTTTGACCCTGTATTTACCAGTGCAAAGACTTTCTAGTAATATTGTTTATCTGCTTTTCTCAGCATATGTTTATCCAAGTTCACTTAGATGCCAAAGCTATTTCTTTTATTTCAGATTTGTTAGATGTTTTGGTGGTATTAAATAATTCAGCTTTCAAAACCTAAACCAAGACAGCATCTCCTTTATTGTTTTTTCCTCAAGGAAATAGTTGTATGAGTGCAGTTTGCTATGTCATATTGCAGTTTAGAGCTTTTGAAGATATATATTGTACATCTTGTTACCTTATCTGTGACAGTTCATATTATGTGTAAATTATGATGAAAATGCCACTATTGCCTTTACTTTTATCTTGATCAGATCATTTATAGTATATGTAATGTCTTGTTTGTTTTAGGTGTTCTTCATCATTCGTTTGCACAATCAGCAAATAGCTGCCTCACTTCCTCCCATCTCTGACCCGGATCCACCCATGAACTGTGACCTAATGGATGGGCGCGATGCATTTCTGACATCAGCCAGGGATAAGCACTACGAATTTTCCTCTTTGCGCCGGGCGAAATTCTCTTCAATCGCTCTGCTGTACGAGTTGCACAACCAAGGAAAAGATGCATTTGTGTACACATGCAATGTGTGTAATGCTGCCGTGGAGACCCGATATCATTGCAACACATGTGATGTAAGTACATTCTTCCGTCTTGTCTGTTTAATTTCTTTCTTGATCACTTTGGAGACCTGTAATTTGCAAAACATTCTGTTGGTTTGTCTCTGATCTTTCCTTAACTCTTTGAAAACCTGATATTATTGCAACACATGTGGTGTAAGTACATTCTTCTGTCTTGTCTCCGTTTCATTTCTTTCTTGATATCTTTAGAGACCTGTAATTACAGCACATTCTGTTGGTGTGTCTCTGATCTTTCCTTAACTCTTTGAAAATCCGATATCATGGCAACACTTGTGGTGTACATACATTCAACTGAGAGGATCAATTGTAAGGGGTTATTCAAAGAAAGTAATGTATTTTCTTCAGAATTATTTACTAGAAGCGATGACAGCTGGCTTAGATTATGAACACACTTGGTAAGATGGTGTGTATTTCTTTTTATTCTTAAAATGTAGAAGAAAATATGTTAACATGTTAGATTTGATTTGTTTAAGTTATGTAGTAAATTATTTAGATTGAATAATAAATATAAAATTTTTTTTACATTGCAGGACTTTGACCTTTGTATGCCTTGCTACAAGAAGGGAAGCCACCACCATGAGATGATTAAGCTTGGCCTGGGTCTTGATGACATTGGTAGCTCAGGCAAGGAAGAGAATCCACAGGAGTCCCGTCGCAAGTCTATCCAGCGCTGCATTTCATCCCTGGTACACGCCTGCCAGTGCAAGAATGCAAACTGCCGCATCAATGCCTGCCATAAGATGAAGCGAGTGGTTGCTCACACACTGGGCTGCAAGCGCAGAGCCAACCATTCTTGTCCAATCTGCAAGCAAATGATTGCTCTTTGCTGTTATCACGCAAAGCACTGCACAGAGAACAAGTGTCCTGTGCCTTTCTGTCCCCAGCTCAAACAGAAGCTGCGGCAGAAGCAGCTGCTAACCAATCTCCACCAGGCACAGATGCTTCGCCGTCGTGTGGCCATTATGACAGACCAAGCTAACAGTATTAACGCCCACAGTGGTGGGGCCTCCTCGGCCTCGTCCAGCAAAGACTCCTCACCTTTGTTATCATCATCGTCATCGCCCTTCTCGAGTGGCAGTTCGGGCAAAGTGTCAGGGCCCCCAAGAGGTGCTCTGATAGCTGCTCACGATGCACAGCTGCAGGCAGAAAAACAGAGACAGGCAACAGCGCCAGTCATTAGCTCAATCGGTAAAGGTAAACCTACAATGCAGCCGCCAGTTAGGCCGTCTCCGGCTTCACTTGGACCTTCAGCTGGCAAGCCTATGGTTAGCGCACAGAAGCCTTGGTCGCCTTATTATTCTCAGATGCCACAGCAGCAGCAACAACAACAGCAGCAGCAACAGCCTAGGACTGCCTTGGTGACCGGTATGATGCCTGGCATGCAGCAGACTCATCCCCAACAGCAACAGCCACAACAGCAGTCATTGCAGCAGCAGCAGTTGCCACCAATGGATGTCAATGCTGTGAGCACATCGACCATGTCCGTTTCCGGCGGCGCAAGTGGGGCTTCAGCTTTAGGACCCGTACAGATGCTGCAGGCAATCAAACACCAGAATCTCACACAGGCAGACTGGGTGGCTGTGATTAAAAAGAACCCTCAACTCATGGCTCAAGTTCTGAAACTGAAAAACCAGAAAATAATGCAGCAGCAGCAGCAACAACAACAACAAACAACAGTCTCAGCAACAGCAGATGCAAGGCATGGGAAACATGGTCAGTTCAATGCAACAAGTTGACGAGCAGAACCAGCAGCAGCAGATGCAGAAGCAGTTGAGTCAGATGATGCCTCAGCAATACAGACAGCAGCAGATGCAAGCCCAACAGCAGACCTCCCAGATGAACCAATTTGCTCAGCCCCAACAACCGTTTGTTCAGGCCCGCATGAATTTCCAGCAGACATTTCAGAATGATGCTGGCCACAGCATGCATCAGTACCAACAGCAGCAACACATGCTTCAGCACCACCAAGCACAGTTCAAGCAGCAGATGGCAGGTGGTCAGCCAATGAGCCCCCAGTTCATGATGGCACAGCAGACCAGTCCTTCCCCACAGCAGATGCTGCAGCAAGTGCGCTCGCCGCCCATCTCTGCGGCAATGCTGCCGCAAACTGTCAGGTCACCCCAGCCGATACCTTCGCCCCGACAGCAGCCGATACCTTCCCCCCACCACAACATGGTGAATAACCAGTCACCTCTTCATGGTTTAAGTTTAGGACAGGACACTTCACAGTACACCAACGACCACGTAATGATGTCCTCATTACAGACCCACAATTCCTATTCACAGATGTCCAGTTTGGACATGAACATGGGTCAACAAGATGAGGTGGCCCCACTGACACCACAAGACCAGCTAGCTCATTATGTAAACCAAATGTAATACTGTTGAATTCAGAAACTAAATGTAATACTGTTGAATTTTAAAAAAAACCCAGATGGAATACTGTTTTGAATTCAACAGCCAAATGGAATACTGTTTTGAATTCAACAACCAAATGGAATACTGTTTTGAATTCAGAAACCAAATGGAACACTGTTTTGAATTCAAAGACCAAATAGATTACTGTTTCGATTTGAAAAGCCAGTTGGAAAACTGTTTTGAATTCAACAGCCAATGGAATACTGTTTTGAATTCAACAGCCAATGGAATACTGTTTTGAATTCAACAGCCAATGGAATACTGTTTTGAATTCAAAAACTAAACAGTGCTGTGTTCAGGAGAAGTATTTATTATATCTCTCTGTGTAACTCGTTTGAGAACTTGTTACTTGTAAATACATTTTTTTTTTCAAAATATGTCAGCATAGAATCCCACACAGAGAGTTTTTATATTTTTACAGACAATGTTCACTCATGTTTGTTGATGACATCACTGTTGCTGTAAATTTCCTGTTTGTGTGAGTGTTCCTTTTTTAAAAAAAATGAAGTATTTTTGACAACTGTGAAGCTAGGGATTGTTAACAGGCTGAAGTGTGTGCACCTACAGAGATTGTTACAGGCTGAAGCGTGTGCACCTACAGAGATTGTTACAGGCTGAAGTGTGTGCACCTACAGAGATTGTTACAGGCTGAAGTGTGTGCACCTACAGAGATTGTTACAGGCTGAAGTGTGTGCACCTACAGAGATTGTTACAGGCTGAAGTGTGTGCACCTACAGAGATTGTTACAGGCTGAAGTGTGTGCACCTACAGAGATTGTTACAGGCTGAAGTGTGTGCACCTACAGAGATTGTTACAGGCTGAAGTGTGTGCACCTACAGAGATTGTTACATGCTGAAGTGTGTGCACCTACAGAGATTGTTACAGGCTGAAGTGTATGCACCTACAGAGATTGTTACATGCTGAAGTGTGTGCACCTACAGAGATTGTTACATGCTGAAGTGTGTGCACCTGCAGAGATTGTTACAGGCTGAAGTGTGTGCACCTACAGAGATTGTTACAGGCTGAAGTGTGTGCACCTACAGAGATTGTTACAGGCTGAAATGTGAGCCCCTAAAGAGATTGTTACAGTCTGAAGTGTGAGCACCTACAGATATTGTTACGGGCTGAAGTGTGTGCACCTACAGAGATTGTTACGGGCTGAAGTGTGTGCACCTACAGAGATTGTTTCGGGCTGAAGTGTGTGCACCTACAGAGATTGTTACAGGCTGAAATGTGAGCACTTCCAGATAAACAGACTGTAACATGTTGAATTATGCACACTAACAGATGTAGACATTGTTATGTGCTAAAATGTGTGCAGCTACGGATAGAGATTGTTACATGCTAAAGTGTGTGCACTACCAGATAAAGAGATTGTAACGTGTGAGCACCTACAGATAGACATTGTTACGTGCTAACGTGTGAGCACCTACAGATAGACATTGTTACGTGCTAAAGTGTGTACACCTACGGATATAGGGATTGTGGTGTAAGTACTTGCGGACATATTGTTTTGGGCCAAAGCGTGTGCACCTGCAGAAGTGTGCTTCTTTTTTTGACATTGTTTAACTCATCGACTACCAACCATAATCAATTGACAGTGTGATCACTGATCCAGATGTGTCAGATATCGCAAGAAGAGTAATAAACTACAGCTGAAAGGACAGATGCCCTTCTGGTTGAACGAGTTAATGCAACCAGCTGATGTCTTTAGTTTATAAGTTAGTCTGTACGAAGTTGCAAAACACTTGAAGCTGTATTGCTGGCATGAACGAACGAACAAACAAAAATGTGTGCACTTGTATGTTTCTTTGATTATTAAACTAAAGGACGGGTGGCAGTTTTTGGCTGATTTGTGCGTGTCTAAGCCAGATACTCCCAGATGAAGGCTGCCTCTCGTGGTTTACTGTTATGGCTAGTTAGCACTAGACCTCAGAAGTCATTATGACTATTGAAGGTAGTCAAATATCCAGGTTTGAATCCCAAGTTGTTCATGTGGGGGTACAAATATTCTACAGACGCCTTCGTGACTGCAGTGTCCATATGGCCTTCAGGCTGAAGACCTCTCCGGCCCTACACCGCCCGCAAAGAGTGGTAATTAGAGGAAGTGAAGACAGTTGAGAGACATAAGGTAATAAATATGTTACATGGCTCCGCATAGTTCCTGCGGCCAAAACTGGGTAATTGGCATCTGGTCTTGTTCTGATTCTATTCAACAGTGCTAGCATAATGCCATTGAAACTGTCACCTTTTCCTGTAACATTGTGAAAAGAGGTGCTCTTTCTTGGGTGAATTTTAAAGTTGTTGATGTTGTGAGGCCTTGTGTTGTCTGTAATGTCTGTCTAATGCTGATGATACTTTTGCTAAGAAGATCTTTTGTCATGATGTGACATGCTTGTTCAAATATTGACACATATTGAAGGTGACACCCCTCTCCCCCCTCCCCCTTTCCATGTGGCTCATTGGGGATTAAATTATGATGAGGTTGCCAATGTTTAAGACAGCAAGGTTTATACTCTCCTGTAACCCTTAATGCCCATGTTTTACTGGTTCCTTAACTCATTCTGTCTTTAACTTCGCATTGTTTATCCATTTCTGGACTGCAGTCCTGTTCCAGAACCTGGGCGTTTGACAGATCAGACTAAATTCAGACTATTGGTTCCTTGCCTCTCAGGCAGATGTACTCCAACTTCGAAGTAAGCTCCCAATTAGTCTACTCTTACGACATGATTTTGGGATGGCAGTGGGTCTATTCTTGTTTTCCCTATAATAGGCCCCCAAACCCACATGGGGACCATTCTGTCTGAAGCAGTTGCTTACACTTTGTCTGTCCCAGCAAGTGTTATTGTCAAGCGTTAATGCTAAAGATTTTTCTTTTTAAATCCTAGAGCAGGGCCATCTAACTAAGTTTACTCAGGGGCAAAATTTTGGAAAATAGGGATCATCGTTGGTCAGAGGCTTGAGCCACAGCAAAAAAAGATCATTAATACAATCTGCGGGTGATCGGCTGAGCATATGCCAAGCGTGTGCGAGCCAGTTGAAAAGCCCGGTTCTAGAGCAACGTCCTTTTTTTTAAAGTCTCATAAAGCTGAAAATGTACACCATTGGGAGGGAAGGTTTTATAGTTATGTGTTAGATTATCTTCACAGCACTCCGGACACATCCATAGGCGCTCAGATTCTCCTCTCAACATATTAATCAGCGTCGTGTGGTTTAATAGTACCAGTCCTATGTTGGTTAACAAGACTTTGTGTGCGACCAGTGTGCTTCTCATGCTTGGCTGTGCCGATCTTTACTCCCTATTCGCGTATTCTTAGCAGTGATGTGGACATGTTGCTTCCAAAATCCTCTGAATGTTTTATCTCTCTAAGGGCAAATTTTTTTGCCAGGGCAGCGCTGTGCTACTCTTTTGGATTTCCAACTGCCAAGGGATTTTTGTATGTGCACAACAATGCACACAGGCATCTGATCTCACTACCCAGAGACAAAGGGATTTACTAGAAGTTCATGACCACGTGAAAAAATCCCATCCCTTACCGGGTATTGAACCTGGAACCTCTAGCACTTGAGGTGGACACCATGCCTCAAGACCACACAACTCCCAGAATTTTGAAAAGGATGACATGCATGGGTACCCCATAAATGTACAATTTGCTTTAAATGCAGAGTGAGTTTTATAAAAAGGTGAGGATTTGTTCTTGTTTGATGCAGGATCTCTTTTTTGAAATGTTCATGTTGCTAAAGCTTGTTGGTGGGCTATTTCTGTTAGTTTTCAAAACTGCAGTGATGAATTCAGTATTGCAGTATCTGAAAATGTTTGGTAGAGGCTAGGCAGCTTATCACAAACATTGAAAAGAGGCCATATTATAGGAAAAGAAACACTGATATATGTTGTGACAGCTTTAAAGATTTATCAGAATATAGAGATGGATAATGAGAATGTCCTTAGCAGCCTTTTGTCACGGCATGGGACAGTGTCAGCACCTGAATTAATACAAACTGTTGAAGACTTGAGGCGGAAATTGAAGAGTAGAGACTCACAGCTTTTACGCATGTGGACAGGCACCCGAGAATACTGAACATGTGCTGTAGGGAACTTTGCCCAAGTGGACAGGCACCTGAGAATACTGAACATGTGCTGCAGGAGAACTTTGCCCAAGTGGACAGACACCAGAGAATACTGAACATGTGCTGTAGAGAACTTTGCCCAAGTGGACAGACACCAGAGAATACTGAACATGTGCTGCAGAGAACTTTGCCCAAGTGGACAGACACCAGAGAATACTGAACATGTGCTGCAGAGAACTTTGCCCAAGTGGACAGACACCAGAGAATACTGATCATGTGCTGTAGAGAACTTTGCCCAAGTGGACAGGCACCCGAGAATACTGAACATGTACTGCAGACATGCTCGAACCCGACACCCTGACATTATGAAGTGCGTTAGCAACGCCTAAGCCACAAGTGTTGACAGTTACAAGTGCTACTACCCCGTGTGGGGTTTGGGACCCTATTATAGGGAAAACAAGAATAGACCCACTGCCTACCCAAAAGCATGTCGTAAGAGTCGACTAATTGGGAGCTTCCTTCAAAGTCGGAGTGCATCTGCCTGAGAGGCAAGGAACCGGCAGTCTGCATACAAAGTAGTTAGATCTGTCAAATGGATGCACATGCAACACTCAGGGCCTGGAACAGGACTGCAGTCCAGAAGTGGACGAACAACCAGACATTTCCGTTCGGAGTTTCAGCAGGTGTTAAGAAGAAGAAGACAAATGCTACTATATCATCATTAATTTCCACTTCTTGAAAGCGCCATTAGAACAAGAGCTGGCATCACAGACTGGTTTCCAGTAACATCAGGAGTAAGACAAGGTTGTGTATTATCACCTTTACTTTTCATAATATTTATGGACAATATTAATACAATAGACATAACACCAACAGATGTCGATAAACAGGAG